CGATCCTAACCAGCGTAAGGTAATACTTAGGATGGCTTCTGTGGTCCGTATATGGTGACAGCTACGGACCACTGTAGATACGGGCGCTTTTGAAGAGAAACTCTTCATCCAAAGTAACTTTTTACGTGGAATTGAAATGTATAGGTACAATATCTTTAAAATTAATAGTTAAATGATACATTGAACTAAGGTTGTTTTTACTTGATAAATCGAAAATCCGTTTAACAAAATCATTCAAAAATATACAAAATATCAAATATAAAAATCGCCTTTTGTGTTGATGATTTTGTTGTCTTGTCTTTTCTTCATTTAGTAGCGCATCAGAAAGTTATTCAATTTGTCTTGATTTGAAGTTTTGGGATAGAATATAGTGCTGGCCCCAAAATTATCGTGTAATTGTGTTTGTTGTAAGTAGTTACGTGAGGTTAGTGAGAGCTGTGCAGTTAAATTTCTTTGTAAAATGTCAAGACTTCGTAAAAATGTTCCAGATTGTTTTGATATGTGTGTAGTTCATTTGGGGTCAAGACCTTTAGACGTAAAATTATACCCCTGTTTAAAAAACAATACTAAGCTTAGTTTAAAGTAAAAATTGGTGATCAAGACAAACCTTGGGCACCACATACTGTTTGTAAGGTATGAAAGTTTGAAATAAATGCGGAACAGGTTGTTAAAAATTTCTCGTTCAAATTAGGCGATTAATGGAAAATCAAGACTTTGTGAATACCATGATCGAATCTGAAAAGGTGTAAATTTAGGGAAATGGGATGCGATATGAGTATAAAACTATGCTGCCGTCATTGAGAAGCAAGATGAAAGGTTCCACTCAGATACAGAAGAAATAGAACGCAGATACAGGATGATTGGTGATTTGCGGAGTCGAACTTGCTAACGTTTCGCCAGAGCTTCGGAGCTTGACTGAAACTGTCCGTCACGCTGTGACAGCAAAAACCGACGCAGGAAGAATTCAGTTTTGTAAAAAGGACTTAACTATTGTTTGAGACCTTATTATTTAATTTTGATTTTTTTTAATTCGGTTTTTGTTTATGCACGAATAAAAATAATGTTTAAATCCTTTTGGTATTGATAAAACGAGGAAAATGCTTATCAAATTTAAATTCAGCAGGGCTATCCAAATCCAGAAGTGCCTCCCTTTTTATTGATTAAAAAGTTCGGCAGACATTTTTTCCTAACCGATCTTTATCCGCACCTGACCTCTAATTGCGGAACACACCGTATAATCTCGTCGAGCAACAATGTACTCTCTCGTACCTGTTAAGCAAACTTAAACGCGAGGCGAGGTCCTCCAAAAAGTAAATATTGATCTTAAAAGCGTAGACGTATAATTTGAAATGCAAGTATGGCGGAAAACGGGAAACGCCGGACTATTCCACGTAAATAACCTCCGCAACCGAGAAACTACGATAGTATTATCAAACCCTGACGTGTCATTACGCGATACAAAACCCCTCTAATCCGTTTCCGCACGAACACCGGACCTTACAAATCGATTCGGTAGGAAATACAATAGGGGAGGGGAGGTTCTTTTGTTGTTTTTTTTATCTGTTTGCGATTGACAAATTGACACAATGGGGTTCGCGATGTATGCTATGATTCTTATTTATTTAGCCTCAGAACTTATCATTTTAGGCCATAAAGAACAGTTCGACGGACCTTTTTGTTATGGTCTAGTGATCATAACGTTATCCCTCATTTTCTTAAAATATCCCATCCTGGCAATACCTCGTCTAGTTTTGTTCCCACAAAGAATTCATCGTACCCGTAAAGAAATGGAACAAAAAGAGCTAATGAAATTCGATTTGAAACTGAAAATATCTTTAAAAAATCCAAACCTTCTAAACCCATCATCCCAAAAGCTTTATGTTTATGGTCTCTGCGTGAGCCAAGAGAAAACAATCATCATGGCATCATATTCATTTTTTTTTATGTTCGAAATTGGTTACCGTCTCTCCCAACGAACGACACTGGTGTGGAGTTGTTTCTCTTTCTGCTGGTTTTATTATTTGCAATTGAAGAACTAGTTGGAGTGCTATTTGTTACATTATAAATTGGCTGAGTGACATTTAAAACTTGGTTGTTCGTTTCTTTTTTGGTAGGAACTCGCCACTTCAGTGTATAATTTTCACATTCTGAAACGGGTCACCGAAACGGGTTCTAATACGGTTGTCATTGATATTTGAAGAAGTTCTGGAAAAAGTCAAGTAAAGCCGAAAAGGTGCCATTTGTTCAGCCCACAGCTATTTTTTCATGTTATTTGCTGCTTGTCCCGTTTTAGTTTTGGTAAACCTGATATAAACAAAATAATTTAGTTTACGGATTTCTCGCCACTGCTGATACTTTTTACACAATGAGCCACAGTTTTAGAGTTGGATTTTCAACAGTGAGTAAATTGTAACGGAAGTTTGGGAAGCTATGTGTACAAAAATAAAAAAATTGTATTTACCCGGACCAACATCGGAAGTTTGGAAAGTCTTCGGATGGTTTTCACAATAAATGGGGATAAAACTGGATCTCATTATTGGGCCTAATCTGCCTGGATAAAATGAAACGGTGATGAAGCTTTTGCGTTTAAACCATATTTAATGAGACCCTTTCCATATAGACAGACTAAGACTAAGCCAGATATTTTGAAATATAAGAAATATAATAAAAGACTGTGTGCTGCAAGAAGGGTGGTAGAAAATGTCTTTGACATATTAGCTCAAAAATTTAGAATAATTTATAGACCAATAGAAACAAAGGTGGAAACTACATTTTCTTGGAAACTAAAAAGGGCAGTAATCTGCACTTTAAGTTTCCATAGTTAGCGGAGCTTGAACTTGGAGCGTTTAATAATTAGCCTTTTTATATCGAGAAAAATTTGTCAGTTATTTCAATTCTTAACTCTTACTTGAATAGTATATGGTATGTAGGAATGTCTGTAAATAACATACAGTTTCAGTACTACCTACCGTTTTTATTCAATTCTATGCTAATAAACAGTTTCGGTACTACCTACGATTTTCATTCAATTCTGTGCCAATAAACTCTGTCAGTACTACCTACTATTTTCATTGAATTCTGTGCCAATAACCTCTGTCAGTACTACCTACCATTTTCATTCAATTATGTGCCAATAAACTCTGTCAGTACTATCTACCATTTTAATTCAATTCTGTTCCAATAACCTCTGTCAGTACTACCTACCATTTTCATTCAATTATGTGCCAATAAACTCTGTCAGTATTACCTACCATTTTAATTCAATTATGTGCCAATAAGCTCTGTCAGTACTACCTACCATTTTCATTCAATTATGTGCCAATAAACTCTGTCAGTACACCTACCATTTTCATTCAATTCTGTGCCAATAAGCTCTATCAGTACTACCTACCATTTTCATTCAATTCTGTGCCAATAAGCTCTGTTAGTACTACCTACCATTTTCATTCAATTCTGTGCCAATAAGCTCTGTCAGTACTACCTACCATTTTCATTCAATTCTGTGCCAATAAGCTCTCTCAGTTCTACCTACCATTTTCATTCAATTTATGCCAATAAACAGTTTCAGTACTACCTATAATTTTTATTCAGTTCTATGCCAATAAACAGTTTCAGTACTACCTACCATTTTCATTCAATTCTGTGCCAATCTCATCCCATATTATTTATTTCTTCCTAATGTGTTTGTAACATCATGTTTTAAATCGTACAATATTGGGTATTTATTAGCGAAACGGGCATCAAATTTTATTCGATAAAACCAAAATTCGTCTACTAACGAAAAATCCGAGAGTCTATAGAAATCCATAAGCAACCAAACAATCTTAACCGCGACTCAGGTATTTACTATTCATCAAAGCAGAATGGCGAAACCTCGGCACAAACCGACGCAGGAGGAATCCCAAAGATATGTAAATAATATGGCCGCCTGTTTCAACTTTTCAGCCAAAGATTCTTCAATTCTGGTGCTTCGTCAGTAACTCATCTGAAATTCATCGTGTCTTGGGTACTTTTCCTTCGCGAAAAGTCGAAGCAATTACAAGACCTTTTCTACGACAATATAATACCAAAGAACCATAAATAAAAGTTAGCAACAATTGCGACTAAAAATTTTAGTGGTCATTCAGTAGAAGGAATACCTAATTTCTGGAAGCTCCCTCAGTCCAGCCAAAGAATACGGATTTAGTTTGGTCAGTTATTGAACATTAATTTTTGCAAAGCGGCGGGCGTACATTCGTCCCGTCATAATATGCCATCATCTCTTGGTTATCTCTGAAACTGGTACTATTATACCTACGTGAAAAAGTATTTTTAAATACATTTTTATTTTCATCTTACTTCCACTACTTACTGTGGTTAGCTAAAAACATTTATACCATTATATTTGAAATTTTCGAGAAAATCATAAAAATAGCTGTCTTGACATAAAGCGCCTCCTACCGACTTGTAAAAGAATTAATATAGTTATATTGACATGCCGGTTGAAGCTCCTATAAATACTACTTAAGACTAAACTAAGTTCGTCGAAATAGGATTAGCCAAAAAAAGTTATTCAACTTTTTCTTTTTTCAAAAGTTATTCAACGTTTTCTAAACCAATATATAAACTAAATAGTTCAAACAAAAAAGTTTCCTTATCTAGAGTGGATTACGTTAAAACTAATTTTGATGTAGGTTAATTTGGAATATTTTTGAGAACCCGTTTTTTTCTAGCGCCCCCTAGCGGCCATTTTACGAACATGAAAATAATTTCCAGCTTTTTCTCTTTGCCGATTTACCTATAAATATTTGTTTCCAGAGAAATTATTGAAGTATGTATAAAGTTTGAACGGCAATATTTAGAAAATTATAAATATTCTGAACGTACAAGTTCGCACGAAGAGTCTAACTTTCAATCTCAAGATGAGGCGCGTTTTTTTTTAAATGGGACGGCTTTTACTGTTTCCATGGCAACGACATTATCGAATAAATACGACCGCCAGACCGCTGCGGTTAGTCAAAAATGACGTCCAATCTTCCGTACCTGCAGCCCCATTTGGTGTTGGGCCTGCAGACCCAAGTGACGGGCAATTTGAATTTTTTATCCGACGATGAAGTTGTATATCCGGTCGGCGCTGTAGTCGCCGTCCACAACTACACCCTCAAGAGGCAGAAGTTCATCCGGATATCTGACAAGGGGAAAAATTTGACTCATATTGCGATCAGTCCTGACAAGTAAGTCGAGTAAACGAAACGATTTCTTAACAAAACACTTTCAATAAGAAAATTCGTCTTCAAAGAACAGGAATATTTCATTTGCAAATCCTTAAAAGCGCGTCCATGCCTTTGTTTTGTAAACACGTTTTTCATGTAATGTTTAAACAGAAATATAGTAGGGCATCTGAATTTTGAATATGATTTTTATCATTTCATTTTTACTACCATGTTAACAATAAAGTTATCGTATGAGTAAGTTGAATTAAGTATAATGGGCCGATTTGTGTGACCTGGAACAACAATTACGACCAACAATTTTTGCCGCTATTCAGTAGAAGGATTACCTAATTTCTGGAACCTCCGTCCGTCCAACCAAAGAATACGGATTTAGTTTGGCCGGTTATTGAAAGATGGCATCACAGGCGAACCAAAGCGAAAATCGATGAGAGATGTGCAAACGCGGATTTACCAACTGCATCAACCGCATTATTTTTGACAAGCTATTGTCGAAAAAGAAGAAGATTGTATCAACGCAAGAACCATATTTTGAAGTCCTTTTTGATAGATATTAAGTTTTCTTGGAATTGAATCACTGAGATTTTCTTACGTAAATACTTTAGGAAGTCTTTCTTGTGATTAATATTATTTCTAATTGAATATTCAAAACGTGGAATATATTGAGTGGTACACCCCATAAACTTGATTTTTTTTATTCAATCATCAATCAAACTTGCTGACATTTGGCTAATTATCGGTTTCAGTTAAGCTCTGAAGAAACCAACAGGACGACATTCAGGAGGAATCAAGAAGAAAATAGTATTAGAGTACGAGTTAATAAAAAATGTTCTTTTGAATTCCGGTTAGCAGTGGCCTTTGATTAAATTAACCTATGTGGTTTCGGAAACACTAATTGATGGTATGCATGGGAATTCATGTGTCCCGCGCGGATTTAGCACCCGATGTACCCTGTGTTCAATTTATCGTGATAATATTGTAATTGGCTGTAACTTTTTTGTGTTTAGAGATATCAAGGTAACGTAAAGTGACCTATAAAACAAAACATTATCAGTTTTCTGCCATATAAGCCTAGGGCATATATTTTTAAATGGAACACCCTGTATTTTATATATGTGTTTAATAATAATAAATGGCCTTTATTAAAGTAGATCAAAAAGAATATACTACAATAGAGTTAAACAGGTGGCGAGGTCTAGCAGAGCTACTCCATGTAAAAACCGATACACACCGATACAATGTAGTAATATATTGAGAATTTAACAAGAAAAAAACTAACAAATAAAAAAAAAAGCAAATATAAAAACAAAGAAAAATTATGCGTTTCAGCATCTCCTTAATCTTACCAGCTGTTTTAATTTCTTTTTAAATGTAGAAGCAGATGAACAAGTAATAATATCCAATGGAAGTGAATTAACAGCGTTATATGTGAAACATAGAACTGGTTACGGTGACGAGTCGCCCTGTTATGTATATCACTACCCCTGACCAGTCTGTCATAGAGATACCCGGGCTTTTCGTACCTAGTAATTTTATACACAAACGTAGACAGACGCACAAGATATCTTTCAGACATACTTAACCACTGAGAAGAGAGAACTTGAGTGAATGCGTTATATGATCAAATTTAGGCAAACCAGGCATTTTGCAATTTTTGTAAGGTGTATTGGTCTTTCCGGCTTAGAGTCGGCCAGTATACAACGTCCGCATATCCCAATAGAGAGAGTATAAGAGAGTCACACAATTTAAGTCTAATCTCAGTAGATAAGTAGTCTTCAGACATGCAAAGCACTTTCAGTTTCGCGTAGGACTTCTGCAGTAAATCAGACAAGTGAGAATCTAAAAGCAGCTTACTATGAAGAAAGACTCGTACATTTTTACATTTGTCGACAAATTCAAGCGGAGTACCATTCAAAGAAAGTTTCAGATTATTATACTGGATAATAGAATATCTTATCTTAAGATTGTCATGACTGACCACAACAAGAGTAATTATTTACAAATTTAAGTAGAACAAAAACACTAAAAACGACAAGACACTCTAAAGTAAAAAGTTCTTTAACTGTTCTAAATACTGCTGTATGTGACCACCATTTTCCAGAACACTCATTTCTCATACACTCTGATTGTATGATGTTTCTGGAATTTCTCTTAATTGATCTATTGCCTCTGAAATTTTTTGCCGAAGTTAAACATTATTACAAGGAGTTCTGCGCAGGTGATTTTTTATGTGTACTAGCACTACTACTAGTACTAGTACTACTAGTACTAGTACTACTAGCACAACATTTTGAGGAGGGGTTTACCGTCTTGCCGCCTCAGCGCTGATATATTTAGGGGTAAATCTTCTATACATTGTTCTATTTGGTGCTCTAAGAGTTGCAAATAACGATATCGTTTGATCTATAAATATCAGACCCAAAATATTTCGTGGATTTGTCTAGGATTACTATTATTTAAAGTATTACAACTATCTAGTATCGACTGTCAAATTACAAACTCGCCCTATTTCGATATAAAAATCACGTCATTCAAACGATACAGCTATTGGTCCTTTTCTATTTGACATTCGACCTTCTGCTACATCCAGATCCCTCGCGATTTTCGACACTTGTGATATTTGCTTCGAATCCACTCGTGCTAGTCTGAACGTTCGATACTTTGCTGCCATCTCCTGAGTACCTCGAGCGCTTAGCAACGTACAACACGCCTTTTTAGAAAATTGATAGCGGTGGTCGAAACGACCGAGAAGCTACCGGTGGTGACCCTATGGTGTCCGGAGTCCTTCAGGAGGAAGCGGACGCTGTCCCTTCCCACCGACAAAGACATAGTCGCCGGAAGGTATTCGGCTATAGACTTCACCTTCGATTCGGCGCGTTTGGTCTGCGTGACGGACGAGCCGGACTCGAACCTCTACTGTTTCAAGTGCGACAAGGGGCGCTTGGAAAGCTTCGCCAGGGCTAACAACGTCAACGGAACTGGCACCGTTACACAAGTAAGCGAATGGGCAAAAAAATATGTTATCAGAAAGCTGTAGGTGTTTATATTTCGACCAGAAATATAGTGCTTTTACAATCGACCCCGTGGTAAACTTTGCTCCAAAACCGCAGCCCCCTACCCGTAACCATTCCAGGACCGTCCTAGGAATTTATCTGCTTACACTAATAAGCGGGATATAAGTATGTTTTGATTATTTTTCGCCGAGCAATTCTTGAAACATGCATATAAAAAAAATATTACAAAGTAACATTTTATTACGTTTCTACATGGTATCATTTTAAATGTAATAATAATAATAATTAATAAAATAATAATAATTAAAAAGTCGTCACTATCACTTCTGTCATCCCCTAGTTCAATTATTAACTCCGCCACTTCTCGCCACTTCTCGCCACTTCTCGATAAATATTTTCTTCTTCTATTACTCTTTTTTCACAGTTATACCAGCTTTGTACTGATATTTTAGCTACGTCTAGCCGAATTCCGACTATCACTAAATTTTGGTGCAGTGTTATTTCTTCTTATATGCGCTTTTAACTCAGACCAAATCATCTCAATCGGGTTAAATATACAATCATAATCACCAGATTTCACGTCCGTTTTGTTGTCCTATCGAATCGATTTCGTAGTCTTTATTAAAATGTTTTATTTTTAAGAATTTCATAAGTTGTATTTTCATGCAAGTCTCTTAAAGATATAAATCATTTTCGTACAGAAATTCCTTAATCTCTTCTTTATTTGAAGAAGTATTCGGAATTTTTCCAATGATACGAGGCATTATCCTACACAATAACAGTATCTGGCGATAGTTTGGTCAACAGTTTATTTTCAAACCAGTCCTCAACTATCTTTGCGCTCATGTTTTCATGGCAGTCCACACTTGAATCTTTGACGTTTTTGTCAGAAAAAAATAAGGCATCTTCTACCCCAAGAGTGGTAAACTTAATAGGATTGCCCAATCCCATAAGACATACGTTCGCCAAAATTAACGTAAAGGTAAAAATTACATTTCTTTTACCTTTTTCAGTGGAATAAGTTACATCAGAAGATAGTTAGGTATGCCTGGAACGAGATGTGCCACGTATTGGTGCAATAACAACTATTTTGATGAAAAAGCAAGTTGTCGACAATGTAGTTTTCATCGACGCAACGACTCTTTGGTACTATTAAAGTTTAATTCTGTCAGTACTTTTTTATGCAGTTCTTCTAGGGTTAAATTGCTATTTACTTTATTTATAAGCCTCGTAGATTATATGCCTAATTAGAACTGAGTGCTGTTCTTTCACTTCTCTCACTTTCCTCTTGACTATCCCATTTGCAACAAATTTTCTTACAGTTGACTTCGGAACTTTGGTCATGTCACTTGATTTTATTGCTGTTCCTACTTCCCCTTCTGAATTTCATATAAAATTGTTAAAGACAAATAGATCCGTTTTTTTATTTGCTGATGTAGTTCGTTTTCTAAATTGTCATTAGGTTCGACTACCATCTCCACTTCGTCTTCAAATTCTGCGTCGTTTTCCATGTCTTCTTCTAACAGGGCAACGTCTGCTTCATTCCACGGCCTCCACATTTAAAATAGGAACCTTCAAAAATGTTTAATTCAATATTCATCTGTATTCTTAAGACGTACCTTTTTCTACCGTGAACATATATATCTCAGGCAAGACCTAGTTAATGCTGAACAAACATCTTTCGGGCTGGGTTTTACCACGGTCCCGCGAAGGTCTGCTGTAAAATACTTATAACGTCAAAGCAATAAATGCCCTATATTTTTGGTCGTATTATACCGAAACCCTCGCCCCGCGCGTAAAACTTTTTCCGGTAGGCTTTTGCTTATGCACAGGTCGCGTGCAACCCAAACGACCACAACCAGGTGGCGGTAGTGGGCGACTCGGTGCTGAGATGTTTGGGTTGCGTGGACTACACGTGGCGTCAGTTCGGCTACAGCAAGTTCGAGCCTGTAGTCTACACGAGCTGCTGCTGGCTGTCGCAGGACCGGCTGATGGTGGGCGGCGCGAGGGGTGACGTTTTGATCTTTGAAACCGGCGAATTAAGGGCGGTTTTCCACGCGTCGGACATGCCGGTCATCAATATGAAACTGAGGGAGTAAGTTTCGATGAAACGCCCACCGCACGACTTTCTATTATCTATTGATGCCAGTCAACAATCATATGCATGTCAGAGATCGTAAAAATAAATAGTAATAATGAAAACCAAGGGGGCGGGCTGTGATGGCGAACGAGGCGACATCGGGTTAGACTTCTCGGACATATTAAAAGAATGCACAGCGCAGTGCTTGAAACAAATGACCGAATGAAAAATTTGCCATAATTGGCATAATTTTGGGCCCTGCAAACTTTTAAACTTGATAAAACGTAACGACAATTCGTTCCAAGAATTGGTTCCGTTTTTTTTTTATAAAAATAGATCGTAATTCTTTTTTTAATTAACTTTTTTATTCGTGGGTCCAATATTAATCTTTTGATTGACGAATAATGTTTTGAAAAAGAAATCATCAAATTGAAATTATTTTTTTGGGTAATTATAAAACTCTGTTTATCTTTTGTCTTGTGTAAGGGTACGCTTACATGTAAAAAGTTTTTAATTTTTATTTTGTTGGAGTTAAATAAAATCATGGAGAATTAACATATATAAATTAGTATTTTCTTCAAAATGGATTAATTTAATTATTGTCTAGATAAAAAAAAAGGTTTTTTTTATAATCGCAATAATTTTGAATTATGTTTACAAATTTGAGCAAATTTTCCAAATCTTCAAAAAAAAAAATTCTTAAAAATGTTAATATATAATTTTTTGTTCGAGTTTGTTATTATTGTTATTATTTTAATGACTTGCGTGAAATGAGACAGTGAAAGTATTCCAACAGTAAGTATTTTGATGCAATTGTTAGTAATTTCTCTCTCTAAATATTACCATAAAAAATTCTCATATACTAAACTTCCATAAAATATTGATAATAAGCTTCTTTAATTTTTTTTTTAAATCTTTTTGCCTAATCAGGTAAAGTGTTGATTTTAATGAAGAATATGTTAATGTCAGTTGTTAAAAAATGTTTTTGTTTTTAGCCTGAATTAGACGACATTTTTTTTTATTGCAAGATACAAATATCAACAAAATCGCGTCAAGTTGTCTTTCTTCTGTGGAATTCGATTGAAAAAACACGGGATTCCAGTACTATGAACCGCCTACGAGTGTGTGTGAGTGGTTAATCCATTCAGAAAAAAAAGAATTGGAGTTTTACGCTCTTTTTGGTAGAAGTGGTAAAATGGTCATGAAAATTCTGGTTTTCACAAAAAAGTCCTTTCAACATTTAATGAAACAGCTCGATGAAGAAATAAAATATAAAGAAATATTGGAACGAGAGGAGAACAAACAACAGTACTTAATAAATAACAAATAATAAAATAATTTACGAACAAATTGTATTACTAATTTAAAATTCAAAGTATTGCAACACACTTCTAGGAAAGTGCAATCTGCTAAGTATTTTGGTGTAATTATGGATTCTAGGCTTGATATTGCTCATGTTGATCAATTGCGATGCTCATTCTTTAAATTTAGTGGGAATTTACTGCTGAATCTCTAACCGAAGCAATTGACTTTTTCTCCACTTTATAATTTCAACAAATTGCGGGGAGATCTTATTACATCATACAAGTTTAATCTATCCTAAACAAACTGCCATCTCAAACGGCTAATGAAATTCGATTTGAAACCGCAAAAATCCATAAAAAATCGAAATCGCCTAAATCTAATATTCCAAAGCCCGGACACATTGCCCTAAAATCTCCAGAAGGAGGTAAAGGAAATGCTGCGGTAGCCATGAACACAAATGAATATCAGAAAAAGGTTTAAGATATTCTTACAGACGGATGATATCGTCAACTTCAAAAAGATCCTACGTCCATCTATGGAAAGCAACCTTACATCTGTTATTAAGTCTTCTTCTCTATCAGAGTCCGCGAAAAAGTCTGTCACCCCTCAGCACCCTCAAATTCTTGGCCTCTACGGACTTCCTAAGATTCACAAACCAGGATTACCTCAGTTTCCCAACATATTATCTGTACAGGGAAAACTGATGGTTTAGAGGTAGAATCCCTCTTTACTAAAGTAAAACTCTCAATATCATTTCAGATATATTAAAAATCGAGGATCTGAAACCAAACCATCGGTTATCAACTTTTTTGTTTACAGAGCTGGAAAACTATTTCAGCCTGAGTCACTGAATCCAGAATTAAAACACCTTACCTCTAATAATTTCCACATTAAAGGTATTAAGCGATGAGGCCGAAGGCAATCCCACACTTGCCACTGTGGTCCTTCCTTACATTCAAAACATCACTGATTGACTACATATCAAAAGTTCTAAAGATATGTAACCTCAAAACCAGATTTACCACTTGTCCAAAAATCTCCCAACATCGTCGATCCGTCAAAGACACAATTCCATTTAGGATGCCAGGAGTTTCCATGCAATGCATTGGAGAGACCTGTCGAAAAATATCAACTAGCCTCAAAGAACATGAAAGAGCTTTAAGACTAAGACAAATAAACAATCACGAAACCGGACGTGTAATTTTATTCGATGAAACTAAAATTCTTCTACCAAAGAAAAATCGGAGAGTCTATAGAAATCTATAAGCACCCAAACAATCTTAACCGCGACTCAGGTCTTTGCCTGTCATCCGAGACGATGATTATGTCCCTCATTTAGCTCCGCTCCCCTCAAGCCATATAAGCAGTTACAGAGTAAAATGCGAGTCAGTTTCCGTCAAGCTCTGAAGCAACCAACAGGATGGTTGACGAAAGGTCAGCAAGTTTTATTACAGTATATATCCATAGTGCCACATATCGGTAAGATATTTGAAGGGGTTATAAAACCAAAAATAGTTTTTTTTAACAGCGGGATATCTTTGGGAATGAGCAGTTTGGATTTAGGGAGGGGCACTCAACCAATACAATCGATAAGTGAGGTTGTGGGAGATGTGGTGGTGGGTCTTGAGACTGGAAATCTTGCGTTCGACTGTATCTCGCACGATCTTCTGCTTAGGTGTGGATTTAACAGAATCTTATTTATTAGACAGGGAACAGTTTGTGGGCGATGACAGACATAAATCCTCTTTGGTGAAGGTCTCCATTGGGGTCCCCCAAGGGACCGTACTCACGACACGTGCAAAAAATCTTATAAGAGTTCCAAAGCACAGACTTGTTACATCAGACAAAAATTCTTTAAACATTGACTTGTACAATATGCTGCCAGATAGGCTTTGGAGGTGTTCAAAACAAATATTAAAGTGTTGTTTATTGAAAATTATTTCTATAGTGTGGACGAGTATTCCACCAAAATAAAAAATCTAAATTAAAATCCTTAGCTTACTGAAATGTGTGAAGATCATAGCACACTATCTTGCACTTTCTGTACCATTTTTATACTCCGTGTTATTGTTCACTACTGAGTTCACCTTTATAGTTTTTGCATGTTGTTTTTGTATTTTACCTTATATTGACAGGCTGCAATTGTATTGTTATTGTACAATATGTGGTTAATAAAAATTCTTCTTCTTCTCTTCTTCTTCTTCAGTCGTACTACAGTAGCCTGTGGAAGTTTCTTTGAAAAATTCACTAAATGTATAATTTCGTTCTTTCCTTGTCGCCAATGTAGATAAAATTGAAATGGATAAACTTACTACTAGTATACTAGGTAATTCTAATCCCGTTGTTTATCAATGCTAACCGGAAAGGCACGACAAAAGCGACAAGAAGTGAGTAAACACGCCAAAATGGGTAGCGTTTTACGTTAGTTTTCGTGTTGTGATGCCGCCATATTTGTGCTCCAGGTTCGAACGGACGTCGCAGACGAGCTTGAAATCGATACCGGTCGATAACGGGGACCCAAATCAGGACGGGGAGAACTACGAGATCCGTTCGATCGTCAACTTCGCTAGAGGATTCGCTTTTGGGTTCATGAACGGTTAGCATTTCGAACTGCACAAGAATTAACGTCAAGGCTCAGAACCGACGAACATGCACAATGAAAGTGCCACTCTCTTTCGACCTTTTCTTTCCATTTTCTGAACACTTATTAGCACCCATTAGCATTCGTTCTAAACAAATCGAGCTATTCCACGTATACCAATACCAATAATGGGGGTTTATTAATGACCAGATGGTGATCGAATCTTTGACGTTTTGAATAAAATTAACCCGATGAAGTCGGAATTGCTCCCCTAACACGAATTCCAACAGGCAGGGTCCACTTATACGAGAGGCAAACTCCGCACAAGTTCAGAAAACGTGCGGTGTTCCGAATACCCGATCGCACTGTATACAGGGAGTACGACGACAGCCGCGTCGAAGTGAAAACGGGCGTCAACTGTATTCGGGTGAACGCAGCGCAGGTGGGTGTAAACAGCCGGCGACCCAAAGGGTAAAGAAACGTTTAAACGATATGAAATTGAAACCAACCAAAATAATTTAATATTAAGGCCGACGTACGGCACTGCGAAATATTCTGAACATTTTCGGAGATAAAAAATACTTTTTAAGAAATTTCGCAACAAACAACCGGATATAAAATAATATTTTTTCAAACACTTCAATGTTTGATTGCGGTTCTCCATTAAATTGCTTTATCATAATATAGTATTTGTGTTTTGCGGAATTTAAAAATGCAATAATATACAGGGCGTTCCACTAAAAAAAAAACGAAAATACATAAACGTTACGAGTAAATCTGGACATATCGCAAGATCAAAAATATTTTACATGGGTAGCTCATATTCGCTTACGTAAGTGACCAAAACTTAAGTCGTTCTCAATAAATGTTCAAGACAGCTATGATACATGTTACATAAAAAAATTCCAATTCGGCGAATTTAAAAATGTAATAATATACAGAGTGTTCCATTAAAAAAAAAAAAAAGTTGATATACGTTACCAGGGACCAACATTTAAGCCATTCTTCGTAAACGTCTAATAAGACACTCACCTTGTATATTTTTGTTGTGTATAGTGCGTAACTGCACTATACAACTGCTATAGACAGAGTTTTGGGTCACGTACAACGCTCGCGTGTTGCAGGACAGAATCCTGGTGACATGCGGCGAAACCCAAATCTACCAGGCGCGCCTATGGTCGCAATCCGAAACCGCCGATGGGTGCGAAGTCGAAATGACCGAGTACGGTTACCCTCAGCACCTGGGTTCCGTCGGTACCATGGCGATCTGCAGGTGGAAACCGATCTGCGTGACCGCAGGCGCGAAAGACCGCTGCCTCAAGGTGTGGAACTACGAGAGCGGCGATTTGGAGCTGGCGCGACGATTCGAGGACGACGTCCATTCGGCCGCTCTGCATCCCACAGGTCTTTACTGCGTCATCGGTTTCTCCGACAGGCTGCGCTACATGACGATCATGATCGACGACGTGGTCACCGTCAGGGAGTTCGGGATACGCAACTGCAAACTGTCTGCGTTCAGCACACTGGGACACCTCTTCGCGTCCACCAACGGTAACATCCTCCAGGTCTACTCCAGCGTTACGTTCGAGTTGATGTACGTGCTGAAGGGCCACAATGGGAAAGTGAGTTGATTGATGTGTCAAACATGACTTGTGACAAAGCTGAAAATCTTCGTTAATCTTCAACACTAGTGAAACTATTAAACTCTTCTCTATTATCAAAGACTGTATCTATCTGCAAGAGATTCCAACTTCGTCCGTGCCATAAGTATTATCCCAAAGGAGGAAATCATTTCAAATGTCGTGTGGTCATGAGGAAAAGATTCAAGATTATCTTACAGATCGTCAAATCAAAAAAGATCCTACGTCATCTATGCAACGCAACCTTAAATCTGTTATTCAGGCTCCGTGAAATAGTCTGTCACCCCATCATGACTCCAAAATTCCTCTTTTCCATAGACCCCTTCGACCTATTGTCAGCACCATTGGTTCTCCATCATATTCTCTAGTAAAATATGTAACTTCTATGTTAAACGCAATACCAGGAAAACTGATATTAATAATGATGATAATAATAATAATAACAATAATAAATAATAATAATAAATAACAATTATAAATAATAATAGTTTATTCACAAGTAATACATTCAAAACAACATTGAAAGTAGAGATACATAAATCGTAAATTAACAGGGGAAAAGCTCTTGAAATATTAGCAAATGAATATTTGTGAGCTGAACAACATACATAAATCAAAAAATAACTACATAAAAATTTTAAGTTTTAAGTGTCTGGTGTATAACAGGCTGACAAAAATCATAACAAACCATATGGATCGGACCCATTGGATCGGACCCATTATTTTTTTTATAGTCATTGCAGGGTTTGGATCACTTCAGGTGCCACGGCAATAATTTTTGTTATTAAGTAAGAAAAGCACCTCCGACCTATAATCTTTTCTCGCCTTGTTACTCGCAGTTTTTGCCTTTGAGATCGTTTCGACCAATTCGTAATCTAAAACCTGATAGAGTTCTTCTGTAGAATAGATGAGCAGTTTATTTTATATAACTTTCCAATTTTCCTGTAGTAGTTATTAGTCAAACCGCCCCACCCCATTCTTGAATATTTGAGTTTACACGAAACATATCGTTAATGTACAAAACAACGATAACAGGACCCAATACAGTTCCCTGTGGAACTCCATATTCAACCATGCTTGCCCAACCAAGCACACCATCGTGGATGACACATTGCATTCGGCCACTGAGATAACTTGACATCAATTTTCAGGCTACTTCCCTAATTCCCATGCCCTCCAAAACATAACTCAACTTCTTATGATATCTAAATTTGTATTTAACGATTTATAGACTTTATCTGTAATTTCATAGTAATGGCATCTTCGGTGGATTTACCATTCAGGAACCCAAATTGGTCGATAGTTTCGTACTTAATTAATTTTATTTCATTGAACAACGTAGGATCTCTCATTACTAAAGTCCCTATTCCTCTCCTCATGGTCAAGAATCTCTAATAAATTGTCTTATACATGTAAACTCTATACATTCTAACATACGTTTTACCATTAAATTAGATATTCTTATTGAATTAGATATTTTTTTATATTTTTTTTGTTTTTCTGTTTACAGAAAACCTGCGCATGCATTGTCGCATCACCATCCGGCCCAAAAATCATCGGTTATCAACTCTCTTGTTTACACAGTCGTAAAACTATCTCAGCACTGAATCCTAATAAGTTCCACATTAAAGATATTAAGCGTTCCATCACTAAATACATTTCACTATAACTTTCTAAAGACAATGAATCCGAAAGCAATCCCACAATTGCTACTGTTGTCCTTCCTTACATTCAACACATCACTGACCACATATCAAATGTTCTTAAGAAATATAAGATTTACCACTAGTAGGTATGCAGCAAAGAATGTATTGGAGAGACCTAACGAAACGGATCAATTAGGCGCGAAGAACATGAAAGAGCCTTAATAGCTAACCAAAACTAAAATTCTTTCATGCAATTAATTCTCTTACCAAAGAAAAATTCGAAAATCTATAAGCAACCAGGTAAAGTCTGTTCATAGATATAAGACAGTGACTAACTGATACGAATTAAGGAAAGACCCGGCCAAGCTGTAAGAATGAAATATGGCCGAACAGGTCCGTACTTTGCTTAGAATTTAATTATTTGGGGTTTTGTTAGGAAAGATACTAGACAATATTTATTTATTTATGTATGTATTTATGTTTAAATCTAAAATAAAATTACAAATTATTTTCATTACCTACTTAAATTACTTAAAATAATTTTACCTGAATTTTAATTCCGAAACTTTAGGTAATAATCTTGTGGCATTGTATGTTAATGACCACCCTTGGATAATCCCATTCAAAAGCAATTGGTCACTTTCTTGTATCTATGAACAGACCATACAGAGCAGAATGCGAGAAAGTTTCCAGTATTACAGTAGCCTGTGGAAGTCTATTTGAAAAAGAAACTGTTGAGGTTAGAAATAACCAGAATTTGGAAATTGTCCGTAGATCGCGAGCATGTCTTGGAGCAGAGACGACCGTCTACTAGCCACCTGCGGCTCCGAGGGCGCCCTCTACATCTGGGACGTCGTCGAGTCGGCCAGGATGGCGGAAATCATAATTAAGTCAAACCCTTTCACCGGTGTCGCGATGACATCTACCGGCAAAGAAGTCTACGCGGTCGGAATGGATGGGCGTGTCAAAGAAATTGCGGGTTCGACCGTTCAGAGGTAAGATCACGAACAGCCGACTGTGGCATATTTGAATATGTCGAAAATGTCAATTAAAGTCCGTTTAAAAACCCAACCGCAATTACGATTGCCTCCAGCTTCATATTAATTATTCTTTTTCAATTATATCGCACTTTGCTTCGGAGTTTACGATTTCTGACAGGTGAGTTTTTAATACCAGGTAAAAGTAAATTTTCGAATTTTTACGAATAACTGGCACGATCTAAGTCACATTTACTTACTTTTAAGATAAAAGATTTTGCAACTTCAATGACTAAAGGAAAAGATATAATAAAATGTAGTGGATAGTGAGTTTATATCAAAAGTTATATTACATTAACTGATTAAAATAAAAAACAAATAGAAATAATTTTCACCAAATCCAAGTCAATGTTACCCTGAGGATTACTCGTGCTGGAATAAAGAAAAAAAATGTTTTTATTCTCATTTTTAATAATATTATACTAATAATATTTTATTTATTTCATGTTTTTGTAATTTTTTCACTGTTTCCACTCTCTTATGGTTTCCAGAATTTAATTTCTTTTTTCTTAGGCGGAAATAAAAGCAATTTAGTATTTTCCTTCTTTTTTACTTCTTAAAATATTTAATGGCACATCGCTCTGATTTCTGGAATTCGGCATGACGCAACAATCGTCGAATTGCCTAATTAAACCATTATTATTCGTTTTTATTATTTGATCATTATCTCAATGTTACATGATGTCTTTGTTGGGTGGTTTAAGGGACGTAGCTTTAGTTGAGTCAGGCGGATTGGACGGGCTGACGCTATCTCAGCTGGACACCATGTTGTTCGTGACGGGGGCGCAGGGAACCGTCTTCAGTCTCAAACTGCCCCTGCTGGAGAGGGCGGAGTTTGTAGAATGCATCATGCATAGAAAGGCAATCACCAATGTACGTAACAAACATTGTTCTAAATAAAACCGTCTACATTAAACATTACAAAAGATAACATTGTTATTACGATGACTATCCAAAGTCTAAAATTGTACTGAGGTGGCTTTTAGTTGATGAAAATCCATTTAACAAAATAAATAAGAACTAAAAGTTCAGATTTTCCCGAAATTATATATTTTTACATGACAATTGTTTCGACAACACCGTGTCTTTTTATCAAATGTAATATTTACAAACTACCTGCTACTATATATACCGAAAAATGACCATAAAACCTCAATTCATGTTGTGAGAATTTAAGTTCAATAAAGGAGAGGTATTTAAATCTAATTGATCGTTAAGCAATATATTTGAATGTCTTATTTTGTTTATCTCCATGGCTTCCAATAAATTTATTTTTCTACTTTTTGTGGCTGTATGCAAAATATCAAAATTGTCGTCAAAAATATGTTTTTCTGTGTTTAAGTTTAAGTAAGTGTTACTTAGAATCTAGACTATTGTTTTTAAACGCCCTTGTTCGTTAATGCATTTCTTGAAGTATCTACCTGCTTGTCCAATATAAATTTTAGGACAAGATCCGCATTTCAACCTGTAGACACCTGATTTTTGTGATTTTGGACATTTCGTTTTATTGTTTTTTTTTTAATTTTCCTATTGTTTCCTAAGTTTTTATATTTTTTTAATACCTGCGTTACTCCAAGAATGGTAAAATATTTATTTTATATATTATTATATATTTATTATTTAAATTTTGAACTTTTTTTTTTAAATAATTAAATAGGTTTTTGTTTTTTTTTTTTTTTAATACGTACGTTCCTCCAAGAATGTAAGATATTTATTGAAGCTACGAGGTCTACCTATAGATACCTCAAAGTTCCTCCTACCGACCCCACCCCCGACCATTTAGCTTAAATTATTTTTTTAATTTTTTTTTATCCCACAAAAATCGTTCTTCGTACCGTCCCATGGAAAAAGGACCAAAGTATATATCCTAGAAATTCCATTACCTTTCCTACATTACAAAAGTCTTTATACGGATTTTAAAAAATCACAAAGAAATAAGGAAAGACGATTTTAAGATTATTCAATAGTATAAATGATTTAATATTATTAAATTTTAGATGTGCCTCACGTACGACGACAAGTACCTCATCAGTGGCGGCGCGGACGGTATGCTGTGCTTCTGGAAGGTAACCAACGCGGAAGAGAAAGCCATCAGGCCGGATAAGGAGATGACGTCGGCGAACGAGATCCTAATCTCGAAGCAAATACTGGAGGACAAAATGGACAAGATCGCTAACCTTCAGTTGCGCCTCAGGGAGTTGGAAACGGAACACCTCTACCAGATGAGGCAAGCGGATGCGCTGCACTCGCTGAGGATGAAGGACATTCACTCGGAATACTGCCACGCGATCGAGGAGCTGAAAATCAAAAACGAGGTGACGCCTCCAAAATAATGACCGACTTTAGCTGTCTAGTTATTTATAAAGAAACTTGAGGAAAACTATGGCATCAAAATTCTTATTGACGCCACTGTCGCGTGCCAAGGCGCTACTGGAAGTTAGTTTGTAACGACATCTTTTAAGAATATTTTGACTTCTTAAGTAAAAAATGTTGGGTTTAGGAAACAGTTAAATACAGATGTTTTGGCACAATAATAATAATAACTTTTATTGGGACATTTTACATTATTGCACAAACTAATATAGCGACACATCTCTAATTCTAGCTTAGCTTCTTAATCTCAGCTACCCAGTATTAACCGAATACTGCAATAACAATGAAACAACAAGCTATAATAATAATAAGAAGAGTCTATTATTGGTAAAATATAAATTGGTTTCGCACCGAGAGAGAGAGAGACTTTTGTAATTGCAATAAATGTACCTTTAATTTTTGCCTAAATACTAGAACCGAGCTGGTCGAAGAATATTTATTATATTTATTATAAAGCTTAATGGTATTTGTTTACGATGCAGTGTTTTTCGTCCTTAGAGGAACATCGTGAATTTCACAGCGAAATACTAAACAACCTTTCGGTTAAGAATATTTCATAACCTTAAATACGACAATTGCAAGCAAAAATTGAAACAGCTATTCAGTTTTGAGCCATTTCAAAGCAATTATTTTTTCTGATTACGATCAAACTATCTCAAACCATAAACAAATCGGGCACTGGTGTTCTGTGGAAAACTATGGCATCAAAATTCTTATGCACGCCACTGTCGGGTGCAAAGGCGCCACTGGAACTTTGTAGCGGCATCTTTAAAGGATGTTTTGACTTCTTAAGTAAAAAAAGTGCGTTTAGGAAACAATTAAATACATTTGACATATGTTTTAAACTTTTTTACTGGGTTCTGTATTAGGTTTCGGATAAATAGAGTTTACTGTTGTCTGGTTTTTTTTTTTTTTATAATTTTATAGCTAATCGACGGATTACGGTCGTTGTTCAGTGCAATTTGTTTAATTTGTTGTAATTTTCTGTTGAGAGTTGGGTATTAAGAAGTCTGTGTATAATAGAGTGAAAGGCAGCCATTTTGTGTATATAAGCGTGATTTGAGCTGTTATGTATGACTGTGTCCGTGTGTGAAGGTTTATGATAAATGGAAAAATCTAATTTGTTAAAATCTCGATAGTGAATTTTATACGATTATGTAATGAGTTAATGTAATTTAAAAAATAATTTAATTGTCTATCCGTTATAACAAAGCAAGCAAAGACATCATCCACGTATCTATGCCACCATAGCGTTTGTTTTGGCTACAGCAAATGGAAGGCGAGCATGTACAGGAGATCAACACGATCAACAGCCAGATATCGAAGATGAAGATGGACCACGAGCTGTTGGTGCAGAAGCTCGAGGCCAGCTACAACGAGAAGTTGATTGTGGAGTACAAAAAGTTCGCGAGGCACGAAGAGAAAACCGAAAAGTTGCTGGAGGAGCAGCGGCGGCGTTACGAAGCGTTGGAGAAGCTCAAAGCGGAATCCGAAGAGAGCGTCGACCACAAAAATCGAGCGATGCTGGGCGAAAAAGATCAAATCATTGACGAGGTAAGCGAACTATGGCCCGAATATAATAATAATAAAGTGACCAACTATACTCATTTACTGAGTTTTGTACTCTTTTTTCGCAAACGTCTCACAAAAACTCTGAACATAATAATTGAGAATTTGATTCTCAATTATTCTCAATAATAGCGACAGTGGTTCCACCTCTTGACGACTAAACCTAAGCACAAAGCTCGCCCACCGTGGCATAGATGGCGTAACCCGACCTTTTAATCGGATTTCAGCTTAGGGATAAAATGGCCACGCTGATTGCGGAGCACGAGCTCATCAAACAGCAGATCGAGGACGATTGCGACAGGGAGATTTGCGAACTGAAGACTACGCACGCGAAGGAGATCAGGGACGAGCAAGAGCTGAACGTCAGGTTGAGGGGCGAGGCGGCTGTGACGATGAAAAAACTCTTGGGTGATTTGGGAGTCTTGGTGGCCGGACGTGAGTCTTTAATTTTTTCCTTCCTAGCCACTCAGAAAGAGTCGGAGGGGTACAAGCAGGAAGTCGCGGCGTTGGAGAAGGAACACGCCAAGTTCAAGGGCGTCATCGCGGGCCTGGAAAAGGACGTGTGCGACATCAAGAAGGAAATCGCCGAGAGAGACTCGACCATTGAAGACAAGGAGCGCAGGATTTTCCAGTTGAAGAGCAAGAACCAGGAGCTGGAGAAGTTCAAGTTTATCCTCGATTTTAAGGTAATAAACAATACGTTTCAAAAACCATTTGAAATTTTTTAATGAATTTAAATTACTTTTGGACCAAGATGTTTTTATAATTATTATTATAATCCAAGATTTGTTGCAGATTCATAATTATGATTGGCCTCGGTTCCGACCCACAGAGTTCCAAAAAAGACCGCGCGACCGAAAGGTTTTTAGGAACCCATCTTGCACTAACCTTATGCATACCTAAATGATCATGCAGGATTCGACGAACGCTTGTATCAGAAAACTTAGTAATGTCTGAGATTTCCTTGACCTCTAAACGTCGATTATTCAATATCATGACCTCCACTGGTCGACCAGTTCTTGAATCATCTTCAAGGGACTCCTGTCCCATTCGAAAACGTTTTGCCCATTCATTCACTTATTCTGTAGTGACTTTGGTCGTACACACCATCTACTCTTTCTTTAATAATTTTAGATGCTAACCCTTCTTTTGACTGCTCTATACTCAATTTGCGTTATTTGCGACATTTTTTCAGACACGTCTTGTAAATAATAAAAAAACTATGTGACGCAGCCTACTAAGGCCGGGAAATTTTGGCGCTAACCGCGTATGTTACCAGGAGTTCATGTTTTACATTATCGAAACCCTTTTCGTAGTCAATGAAACATATGAAGGCGCTCTTTCTTTGGTCAAGGCAGTTTTGCACCAATGTCCGCATTCCTCCCTGGTTCCGAACCCTCTCTTAAAGCCAAACTGACCGAACCCGCATTTTCTGTAGTCTAATTCTTACGCATTCTTCATGGATCTAGATCAAAGAATTGAAGTCGCAAGTGGAACCGCGCGAACGGACTATCCAGGAGCAGACGACCCAGATCAACGAGATGGTCAGGGAGCTGGAGAATCTGCAGAAGGTGACGCTGAACTTAGACGCGCAGCTAGCCGAGGACCGGTCCAAGTTGGCCGGGGCGGCCGCGGAAGTGCGCAGGGAGGTGGAGAGGAACTGGCGCATGAAGAAGGCGTTACGCGAGATGAGAATGGACCTGCATCGCGCCAGCGGTCTGATCCAGAACGTTCCGATGCTGCAGAAGGCCGTCAAGGTAGAAACCTTTCTAAGATACAATTAAATTATTATTTAATTATTTATGACAGCTGTTTCGGCCACACCTTGCCTTTATCAAATACTAAATACGACAATATTTACAATTATACCCAAAACATCGAGCAACACTACAGAGTATATCCAAAATTTATGAAATTAAGATGCAACAACAACAACAAAATGGTTTATAGAAGAATGAAGACATCAATACAAGAAAACAGATACACACTAGAGTTCTGTAAACGTAATACCTTCTGAATGATCTCGTAGGCTTAATTCCGTAGAATTTGATTTATTAGATCATAGAATCCGAACTGATATATCAAACATTATCCACAAAAGGTATCTAAGACAAAAGCGGTCAGTCATTTAAAACTTTTCTATTCGCGAATTTTACAATTTACAATTTTACTATCAATTTGGCTACTATTACATTCTCTGAGAAAGCGTCAGAATTGCTTTAACTTCAACTTTAATTTAAATTACTCAAATACCAATAAGGAGTTAATTACATTAATGACAGGGAAAAATACCAACTAATAATCATGAAGTCCCAACCTCCAAAATTATATTTTTAATTATATTACACAAAGAGAATATATGCCAATAAGGCCTGTAGTTTCATCAGTTAAATTCTCAACAAGATTAATATAAATTTGAGAATATCATGTTGCCTTTAAACCTAGACTCAGACACAAGTCAACCATATCATAAGACAAGAGGGGCGGGGGGCAAGTTCGTAACGCCTAACGCGAAGTAGCTTTTTATTTTAAAAAGGAGCTTCGCGGTTTCTTGTGATAAAGATACGCATTGTTTTTCTATCGTGCTCCCGTGGACCACAATGGAACTTTCGCAAAATCGATGTAATTATATTTTGCATACACCCAGTATAAAGCGTCTTTCAAGTATCTCACGCACCCTGTATGATAGAAGAGACCTGACACAATTTACGATACTGCTTAAACCAAATTATCAAATGTTTTATTGTTTTTCTTTTACGGTTAATTTACCCTCGAAATCGGCCATTTTCACGATGTTATGTATTTTTTGCTCATTACCGACACACCCTGTACATAATTGAAAAACTGCCAGACGCAGAGGTTATGGTCCTGGATGTCCTACGTTTTCTGGTTCATGAATTTCGCCAATAGAGTAAATGGTTTTCGAGAAAATAATTATTTTCTGAAACAATGCAGTACGCCATCATAGTAAATGATGTCATCGCGTCTAGATTGTGTGCGGGAAATAGCGATTTTCATTTCAATTTTTCAAATATTTTGAGCAGCGTACTTGCTAGCCGAAGAACGTAAATACAAAAATTGCAGCTCTCGATGTGGCCTACAATACTGTTTGGACCAGTTAGCCAAATCTTTTGCGAATTTTGATTCGAAGCTAATAATTTACTTTACTTACAATTAAAAAGCCCTGTATCTAATCGGAAAAATGCCCGAAATAAGTGTTATAGCACTAGATCATTCCCGTACGCTGGTTACCGAATTTTCCTGATCGGGTTAACAGTTTTTGAAAAAAAAATTTTTTCTGAAAACCGAAATAACCCAAAAAAAATCAAAAATTAAAAGAAAAAATACTTTGCGGCATTCGACTGCTCCCAATTTTAAAAGTGTGTGTGGGTCGCAACTTTTACCTGTCTTGCAAATCTGAAGCCGGTGGCTGCAAATTTGAGACATCTACTACATGTTTTAATTTAGCGCAGAATATCTAGAACACCCTGTACAATATGTGAAAACTTTAATTACAAATATTTTAGCTGTCCGTACGGACTATACAGAATGAATTTAACGGTCAATTTTATATTGGTAAAGAAGAATTAATTATGTGAAACCTACTTAGTCCACTTAGTTGCAGAAATTTTCATGTACAATTTAGAAAATATCGTACACGATCATCCACTGAGTAAAGAATTTCTCTGGTGGTATAGATACGTAGGTAATATTTTTGCTTGTTTCAAACGGAGAGACAACTGCAGTGCTTTTTGAATCATATGCACTTCCCATGAAAACCTATAAAATTTACTTAAATCACCCTTCTTCACACAAGATGGCTGCCTTTTATGCTTTTATTCACAGACTACTTACTATACCACTATCCACAGAAAATTTTGAAAAAGAATTTAATAGCTTTTAACAATGGTCACAACCCCTCTTTAATAGATAAGACTATAGCTAAAAAGCAGTTTCAAATAACTCTGAACTCCATCTCTCCTATATTAAACACCGAACCCAAAATTTATAAAACAATAAAATCCACAGGAGAACTGAGCAAGAAAATTTCGAAACATCTGCCTAAATTTGGTCTCAAGATAGGACATTTTTGAAAAAATAATCAAAATGAACTGCAAAAAACTCAAAAATCCGGAGTGTATGTGGATCACGTCCCAAAATTTTTTCGGACGAACAGGAAGAACATTTAAGAAACGCATTACCGAACATAAAAGGGCATATAAAAAAATCAGAAATTCACCAAAAGCAAAAAACTAAATTTGTTTGAAGCTATGGAGGCTAACAAAATGAGATATTCGAATCCATTACTTAATGACCAATTGTTGCCTAACAGTTGTCATAAACTAATAAATAAATGTAAACCTGTGCTAAATGGATTTTCATCAAGTAAAAGACACCTCAGTCCAATCAATTAATACACAGTATATAATGTCGATAATCAATTAGATAGTTTACCATCTATTATATTCGTAATTATTATCGACCACTATTAAACCAAGTTAGCAAAACAGTATATCCAAAGTTTGTTGTACATAAAAAATTAGTTAATCTATTTAAATCTAAATTATCATATTATTGAATACAATCAGGTCTAATTTGACCAGTTCTGGAAAATTCTTTTGCTCGAAGATATCGCGCAACCTCTGGCAACGTCGCGAAAACTGCCGCGATTCTACGCCTTTTCCACGCATGCGCGCCATATCAATGCGCACTGTTGCAGGAAATGTACCACAAGTATAACGCCGACAAAGACTTCGAAGTGATCCAAGCAGAGGACACGGAGGCCAAAGGGGAATTCCTACGTCAGCGGGAATTTTTGGAAAGGACCGTCGCCACGTTGCACAAACAGGTAAAAAGTTGTTGCGATTGGTATATACCCCAATAACGGGAAATTTTCGATAAAAAACTCCGTCCCAGATGCTGGATTTAAATTTTTACATTTAAAATTGGCGCTTGTGATCGTAACAAAAACCGCGAAGCAAAGGAGAACTGGATGACGGAAAGGTGCAGAGAAATAGAGTAACTGGAACGCAAATACGATAGCTTTAACATGCACCAAAAGATAGAGGAAGTAAAAGAACAAAATTCAATAATTTTGGACATCGAAAATAAGCTGGAGATCTGGACAACTTATATAAAGCAGCTGACTACGAGGTAACAACAACCGGGAACCTACTTCTAATAACAATATATGAAATTGACCACGCTATTAGGATAGCAAATTTTGGCAAAGCAGTGGGACCAGACGATGTGCATTGTGAGCTTTTGAAATTGCTTGACGAACATTCGATGCAGGTACTCTTAGATCTGTTCAACGACGTGATTGGCTGCTGTCTACTTTTGTCCCAATCTCGAAAAATGTCGACCATCTAAATGTGATGACCGCCGACTCGTAAGTCTAATGAGCCGTGTTCTAAAAATACTCCTAAGAATCGTGCACGCCATTTTCGCCTTCAACGTTCTTGCCCAGAGAGAGTCTCGTGGATGAGTAGAACTACAAATGAGGAAGTGTTAGGAAGAATGAACGCCATTAAAAAACGAAAACTTGAGTTCCTGGGACATATATCACTGCTGAAACTCATTATGGAAGGCAAAATTGGAGGTAGACGAATTGTAGGGCTCCGAAGAATCTTTTGGTTGCTCAATCTTCGAGAATGGTTTGGTCCATAGTCAATTGAACAATTTAGATCAGCAGTGTCAAAAGTGAAGGTAGCCATGACGATCAGCAACCTCCAAAGGGGAAGCTGATAGAAGAAGAAGAAGAAGTTTCTTAATTTGTCCACCATTCTAGCCGTATAGGTGTATACCTATACAGGGTGTCCCATAACCAATGATGCATTTCGAAATACGAGATACAAGTTGCAAAATTGCAATTTCATTTTGATTTTTTTAAATATATTTCCTGAAATAATTGGACTTTTTGCACAAAATTATCGGAGTTTATTGACATGAGAAATCCTAACTTTTTTGTGCCTTAATATATAAAGATTGATAAGGAAGATATCACTTCTTGTAAAAAAAAAATGAACCAGCTTATTAAAGGACACATCTTATTTTATGCTCTTTGATATATTACTTTAAATCTACTAAATTACATGCACCCTGTATAAAATGACTTTCACGACTTGACGAACTCCAAAGTCACGGCAAACTTTGATAAATGTAATAATTTTCACAAATAATAGCGATTACAAATGATATTTTTCCAAACATCTCGCGCACCCTGTATCATAGACGAAACCTGAAACTCTCTCTCGACACAATTTTGGAAATCGTTTAAACGAAATTATCCCATGTGTCATAGTTTTTCATTTACGGTAAATAATTTTCCCACTAAAACGTCAATTTTCAGGATCTTTTTGTTTTTTTTTTACCCATAATCGAAGTATCCTGTACATAATCATAAAAATAACTGAAGTAAAAGTTATATCCCCAAATCTCTCACGTTTACCGGTATATGAATTTTTTCAATAGGATAAATAGTTTTCGAGAAAATAATTTTTTTCTTGAAGTCAAAATATGCCAAAAAAAATTTTCAAATTTTTTTTAAAAATGCTTTGCGAGATTTGATTAAGTCCTTTTTCAATAGATGAAATGCGGGTGTGGACTTCTACCTTTCTGCCAAATCTTAAGTCGACAGCTGCAAATTTAAGAAACCTGTTAATTTTTGTTAATAGTACTTAATATCTGTAAAACAGGTGAAAACCTTAAATACAAAAATTTCAGATGTTCATGCAAGCTATATCGTCATGTGAAAGAAACTGATATGCGAAACACGGTCTTTTTGTTATACGCACTTTTCAATAATTTGGGACCCATTTTCCAGTTTTTTTAATTTGCGGCGCACCCTGTACATTTAAAAAAATTGTCAAGAATAGTAGTTTATGGAGCCGAATCTTCTGCGGTTTCCCGTTCAAGAGTTTTGCGGTAGCTTAAATGGTTTTCGATTAATGATCTTCCTCTTGGACCCTTGCACACGCTATTTTTTTTTTAATACTTCCCGCACCCCTAGCCCCCTCAATTTCAATATGATCCGTGAGAGGGCCAAACGCTATGAGCCTGAAAAATTTGAAGTCGATAGCATTAAATTTCGGACATTTATCGTGTTTCATAGCGTTGTTCAAAAAACAGACGAAAATTGAAAAAAAAGATGGCCGCCGATGTTTGGCCGCGGCCATTTTCACATATCTTGTGCACCCCATGGACTTTTAAAAAGCAGCAAAATTTGGACAGTCTAGCTGAAACCGTTCCGAAGTTATCGTCGAAAATGCCCCGGAACAGAGTACGGAGAACGGAGAATGGACAAAGAGACAAACAAAAAATTGTTGTTTTTCAAGGCCGATCATTTCTGTACCAACGGCGGTTCCCTAGGACCTACCGTTACCAAGATAGAAAATTCTTATAAGAGCGTAGATACTGACGAAAAATTCGATTTCATCGATTTTCGAAAGTAACCAGCCTGTTACACAAAATAAGGTGTGTCCTTTAAGAAGCTTTTCCTTTTTCCTTTTCAATAGGAAGTGGATATCTTCATTATAAATATGCATATGTTAAGGCGCAAAAAAGTTATGAAGTAACAAATGCATGTAGCGCAATGTGTCCCAAAAGTATTCCCCATTGTCTAAATTTTGTGCAGCAGACTTTAATTGTAATTTTGGACTTCGGTAAGTTTCGTTAAATGGCGATATTGCTACTCAAAGAATCTCCTATTTGGCCATGACATCACCGTCTGCTTAGGATGAAGGTCTCACGCATGTTACCGTTTCATATGTTGACTTGTTTATTTTCCCCGCTATTTTAAAATCTGACAATGTAGGTAAGTAATACCGCGTTCGTACACGACATCTGGCGCAATATTGTAGGCAACCAAACACACAAGCACATTGAGCTTCGACAAAATCCGTTTGGTCGGCGAAAATGCGTCTCTGCTGGTCGAAACTAACCAGTTAAGGAAGAATTTGCAAACGGAAATCGTTCAAAACAAGAAACTGAACGCGCTGATAGGGCTGTCATATATATCGCCCCAGGTGGCGCAGCGCAAGGTGGACCTGGCGATTGCGACCAACCGCGAAATTTACGAAAAATACTGGGAGCAAATAGAGGTGAGGCGCGGGGCGGGGTTTTGCACGTTGGCCACGTCATTGGCTTTGTTTTAGCAAAACAACAAGGTGATTCAGGCGTTGCGGGACGAGAACGAGAGGTTGACTAACAAGATAGCTGAAACTAGCGGGCTTGTTCCATCTGGTGACGCAGATATCGAAGACGAGGCGATATAAGATTGTAATTGCCTCAATAAAATGACTGCGAATGCGAAAAACGGGTTTTCCTTTCCAAAAATTCTTACGTATTACGTTACGTGCAATAATCGTAAACCTAATAGGATTGCCCAATCCCATAAGACATACGTTCGCCAAAATTATCGATCGCACGTGGTCGCTTGTGACGTAGGCGAAGTCCTCTAACGGTTTTTGTGTATTCTGTCGATGCATTAAACCGTTGTATTTTGTGTTCTTAAAATAATTTAAACTAGCGAGTAGTGCGCTTATGTTTGTGTTAATTGTATTTCTGTAAAAAAAACTTGAACAAAACAGTGTTTTTAAGCTTTAACAAATACTTTAAAATTGTATGTGCTCGAGTGGCGAGAACGGAGAAAAACAGTATTTTTAACCTTAAATAAAGACAAAAGTTTTGTGTTCGTGCTGCTTATTAGCGGTGTTATTAGTTAGGGGGTAAGCTCAAAATATTACACATAATAATATAGGTAAAGGTAAGAAATACATTTCTTTTACCTTTTTTAGTGGGATAAGTTACATCAAAAAATAGTTAGGTATGCCTGGAACGAAATGTGCCATGTATGGGTGCAACTATTTTAATGAAAAAGCAAGTTCTCGGGAAAAGGGAAAGATCTAGTATCCCGCACTATTCGGAACGAGTGGATAGTTCAATGTAGAAGAGAGGACAAACTTAATTCAGATAAAAGCTATGTCTGCCTAGTTCATTTGACTTACGAAAGAGTTATTCTAAAAAAACTGCTGTTCCCACCCTATTATTATTTAACCAGAAGCTACCAACCATCTAGATCTAGATCAAAAAGACTTTATTCCAAAAATGCGAAAAAAGCAGCTCATCAGGTATTGTCTGAGCTTTTAGAAACAATGTCGAATGCCACAAGTGAAATTCCAGAGAAAAATCTATTTCCAGATCCCATGCCAGCACCCCGGCAAGAACTCATCTCCGAACCCTAAATAATCAATTATAAAGCTAAGTATATGGATTTGTTGGATAGTTAGAGATTTTTGTAAGCTGAGAACGATAATTCGTATGAACTTCAGAAATTTAAAAGCAAAACATAACGTTAGTCTAAAAAGAAAATCTTTGCAAGATGATACCCGCAGAAAAAAATTAGAAAGTATGGTAAAATTGTAAAATAAAGATTTAAGAATATGTAGTAATATGTATTTTTTATATTATGTACATACGAGGGTACATATAAATACATATTATTATTTACCTACCACCTATAAATAGTGGTTATGTATGCCTAATGTATTTTTTGTTTTTGAATATGTTCTTTAATATATCCAAAAGTAGGGATTTCTAGTTTATAAGTATTTGTTGATTTTTCTATATTTAAAATGGTAGAATGCCATAAAACACAAAGTTTTACAAGTAAATCGTTGTGTTCGCTAGTTTTATAAATTTATGTGTAACTATATTTAATTAATATATGTATTTCGAGATAATACATATAAGCCAAAATTGGTTGCAATAGTATCATTTTTACCCTACCCTACGCTACTTCCCAATAATTATTAAATAAGTACTAACACGATTTAATGTTGACATTAAATGAAAATAACGAGTGATTATCCAAACAAAATGCTATATTAGGTACTCAAAATACTCAAAAGTCCATCAAAACTCGAGTCAGTTTCAGATTATTTCCATGCATTTACATAGTTAACGCGCCGATACAGGACTTCACCTACGTCACGACCAGCGAGAGTTTTCGCATTGCACTTGCGGACAGGTTTGGCGGATTAGGCAATCCTATTAGGTTTACGATTCTTGCGTTATGTGTAACGTCAAACAATTTTATTACGTAGCGAAGCCTCCGTCGATAAATTTTAAAAAATTATAAACTGTACATAATAAATTCAAAGTTAACGAAAACAATTCTTTAATATGCTCTTTTAACCTAAAACGTAATTCCCATGGCGGACATCCAACGGCATCCAATTTGTATCGACGGTTAGTGCCAAAAACAACCCCAAAATGATAACAATGTAACATTAATAACAACCTAAACTGTGCGAAATTATAAAACAAAAATCAAAAACTAACATGTGAATTGATTGCAGTTTCCCTATAGGCAACGCAAAAAGAGAAGAGGAGAACTAACCAATCGCAATTATCTATGGTAACAAATTTAACCTATTCGGTCAATCCTAAAAAATGTTATTTAACGGGAGACATAAGCAAGAGATCAAATCTACGACTTCCTAATATAACTCAACGCATTAACAATAGAACAGCCGTAAACATCTGGGCGATGGTACCAAGAATCAGGTACCCTTTTTTATAAATCCTTCAAAAAACGCATAATGTTGTCGATGCTGACCCTGTAACTTGGATCGATGAGCCTTGTTCGGCTTATGACGTACTCCTCTTCCATATCCAGCACCGTTTCCAGCAGCGACTCCTCGACGTGGCACTCAAAGTGCTTCCGGAGCATTTCTCTCGTGGGAAACTCAAAATTGCACGCGTGGCACACGTACGCTTTGAAAATGTGATTCTGGATGTGCTCTTTAAAAGACTGTTCGTTAGGGAAGAATTCGTTGCACACCCTGGACAAGTTTGAAGCTTTGCAACTGGGAACGTCGCATAAAACTGTACTTACCGGCACTGCGTCTCGTGGATTTTCATATGTTTGTCGAGAGCAGATTTGGAGTTGTAACCGTTTCCGCATTTGTTGCAAAAAACTACCGCGTCCAAGCAAGGAGCGATAAAAAACACCTGTCCGGTTTCAGAAGCAGATTCAGTGTCTGACGCTACAATATTGATATCTCGCCCATTGCAAATGTAAAATTTGCCATTTTTCTCATCCAATCTTTCCTTCCGCTTGGTGATAATTTGGTAGTGTTTGCCCCTACATTTTACAGGCTTCTTCTTTTTTATTTTCCTTTTGTTAGGTACTGCTTTCATGCCGCTGCTCTCCGAAGATGCAGACGGTGAGGTAGATACAGGTTTCATATTTACATTCGCTTTATCTTCTACATCAAGTCTTGTTGAAACGTTTTTGAGACAGTTGGGCACAGATTGATTCTCCTTCGACTCCCAAGAAGTCTCGTCAAACGAGAAATCCAAGTCGACGCTGCTTTTGTCGTCCCTAGTTACGATTTCGTTCGAACAAATCTGATTTTTTAATTTCGGTAAACATGGCCTGCTGCCTCGCCTAAATTTCGACCGTTTGCGAAATACCGGCGACGCGCAAACTTTAATTAGTTGTCTCGCTAATTGGATCTTTGAATGCTGAGTAATATAATGAAAAATTAAACTCCTTTTCATTCGTAAGCGAAAACAGCAAATCTCGCAGCGTACGGTAACCATTTTGACTGTAAAAAGGATTTAAACGTTTTTTTCGAACAAAATTTAAAGGACTCATAGAATAAGATGCTGTTAAAAGAAAAACGGAAATATATGTTATCTATGGTTCGAAGTGCCTCGAGGGCGGTGGGGATTTTGGCAACCCTGTTTTCTTCTATTTAGCGGATTGAAACGCGAATTGTAATCGAACTTTAAAGCGTCCCAGCTTTCTCATTAAGTCCACTTTCATTGCGGCTGAGCTTAAAACCTGTCAAGCCCAACCTTCTTTCTGCCACATTGCGTAATATAATCAAAGCGATACTTTCAGATATTCGTCTCACCTGGCAACGCCGACTCAAGTTTCGCGGAATCGCGACGTAGGTCGTCGCTTGTTAGATTGTTCCAGATGATGTTCGAAGAAAAATTGCTGCAGTACGTGCCAGCGAGAAAATATTAGCAATTTTGTCGAGTGTTACAAGTGTTAAATATTTTCAAGCGTGTCTGGTTTTTTTCGCCCAGACGAAAATGCCGTTTTCCAGATCAGCATTCGTAAGTGGTCCTCGGGCATGGCGGTTGAAACTATTAACCCTACGGTTTTTTAATTAATGGCTTTGTTTTTGCGATATTTTGTTGACGATGCTGATTTTTCCCGTAAGTAGTGCCATGAAACTACATTAAATATTGCTTGTGTGCGGTGTGCAGTTTACCTGTTTTTTGAGGTTATCGAGTTTTGTGTTTTCCCGAGAATAAACTTTACCGAAGGTTGGATATTTGCCAGTGGCGACCGCTCTTGGTACTAGGTTAAAATAAACCGTACGATAAGTGGATTTGCGCGGATTTAATATCCGTTATCTTGGTCCGATTGGTGCAATTTCAGCATCGTCATTACATTAACAAATCGCGATAGCTCTCTGTAGTCTGTCGAGTACTCGAAGCGAGCGCGAAGAGTACATTTTACACTTGTATTTGGTTCGCAGGAATCTGATTAACACTACTTGGTGCCTGCTTCAGCACGCTACGCAACGGTTTTTAGTGAGTATCCTGTGTTTTGCTCATTAACCGGTTGTTGGTGTTGGGACTAATCTTTGGGTGTCGCTTGTTCGCCGCTATTCGTCGTTACATCGCGCGTTTTTCTTTTTAGACCGGGTTCCCGTTCGGTAGAGATGACGATAACCTCCAAACTCACCTCGACGACATTACTCAACGACATCCCGAGTTGAGCGAACACTTCCGGTTCCCCAGGAGACGTCCGGAGAGGCCTTTCGGTACCCGATTCGAGCGATTCGGGTTCCCGTTCGACGAGGAAGACGAGACTCGGCACAGACCACAGTACTCCTCGCCCCCTCCACCGACCAAGGTCGATCGGTGCACTCAAACTGACCCCGAACTACTCGCAGAGGCGGCGCCTGCTACTGACCGACCGAGAAGTGGGCGTGGCCCTTGCCCCCCTCGCTGGCGCGAAACTGTAAGTTGGCGTTTCAGATCGGCCGAAAAACATCCAGCAGAGCAACACGTGCGACTTGGCAAGCGCGCGCGACGCGGCGGATGATCGGCAACAGCGCTCCTACTCCGCCCCGCCCCCTTCGAGCGCCCAACGGTTCGTCACTTCGATCGATATCCCGGTGGGGAGAGAGCCGGACATGCAGGACGGTAACGGGTCGAGGCCCCACACGAGTACCGAGCGGGTAATACCTATCCACGTGGAAGGTAAGTTATACGGGGAGGGGCGAAGCGACGAGGGCGAAGCTCCGCGTCGGATTTCAGGGCGGGACGTGCCGATAGTGCCCAAAAACGTGACGTCGTCGTCGACGTCTGGACCGCCTCCCGAAAGGATATTCACCGATCGTCCTGCCCAGCCGGAGACGATATTCGGACAGCGACCCGAGCAGTTTACCCAGTTCGTGCGCGAGCCAAAATGGCGTCCTCAGTCGGCGTTCGACAGAAAGCCGGGTTTCCCGGAAGACGAGCCCGCGCAGCAGCAGCAGCAACAAGACGCGCCCCCTCAACCGGAGCAGCCTAGCGCGCCGTCGCCGAAACCGCAGCCTCCTTCGCCCATAGATCAAATCCGGGCGATCCAAAAGGACGTCTCCGAATTGCTCCGGCAGGTGGAGCTGTTCGACGGCGCTTACAAGGACAAGAACTACTTGTATTTGGACGAGATGCTGACGCGTAACCTACTGAAGCTCGACGACATCGACACCCAGGGTCAGGACAGTATAAGGAGCGCGCGGAAGGAAGCGGTCAAGTGTATCGAGAAGGCCATCGGGGTGTTGGAGAGTAAGGCCGCCAAGGAGGCGGAGCCGGCGAGCCACGCCCAAGAGAAGCAGGCGGTCGAAGAAGTCGCGCAGAGCGCAGAGACCTCGGATAGGTTAGAGGTGGCAACCGAGGACAGTGGGGAAGTCCGTCCTACGGGAAATGAGGAAGGAGTCGTCAATGACGGTGAGTCGTGCCCGCGTGAAGGGGGCGTGGTCGAACATAAAGCCGAGAAGGAGAAGAAGAAAAAGAAGAAGAAAGATAAGGAAGGCGAGAAGAAGGAATGAGCGCGTCTTAAATTAGGTGTCTTGCCGCTTACCGCGCCCATGGAGTTTTGTTTTTCTATTTTCTATGAAACTGCCCCGCCCGCCCAGTAGGTTTAGTTTTGTTTTCGTTGTTTGTTTATTTTTTTATGTAGGCCGAGGACGATGTTGTTTTCGTTTTTTTTTTTTTGTTCGTTTCTGTCAATTAGCCGCACGCAATAAATTTGCCATACAGCGGGGTGTTTTAATTGGGTGGGAGGGGGATCGTCCTTGCGACTCTAACTTTTTGTGATATGTCATCGATTGTGGTGAATAAAGTATACCTATACTGGCAAATGGGAACGAATTAATACCTGTTAAAAAGTATAGTCCGCCTGGGGCTGCCGGTGGGTGAATTGAGTAGCTCATCAGTAGTTACTGGCGGTCCCAAGCCCGGATAAAGGAGGAGGGTTGGGGCGATATTCCCCGGAAAAAAAACTATAGCCAAAAATTTCGCCAACTTGCCTCGAAGATTGCAAAGAAAAAGGACATTAACATGCATGGAACATACAAGGTCTAAGAACAAAATATACAGAAGTCTTCCAAGAACTGCAAAAGAAAGGAATGGATGTCTGTACCTTAACAGAAACAAAGAAAATGGGTAAATTATATTCACTTCTACAGTGGAGTGGAAAAACATGATAGAGCTAGAAGAGGGGTATCTATCGTAGTACACAAGAATCTCAAGAAACGTATTAAGGCATGGGAAGAAATAGATGAACAAATACTAAAGTTAGAATTACAAATAAATGGACATTACATTATCATCATCGCAGTAAATGCCCCTAGTGAAGATGCCGGCGCACAAAATAAAAACGAATTTTATGAAAAACTTAACGATACATTAATGAACATCAAGGAAGATAATGAAATAGTTATTATGGGAGATCTAAATGCACGTACAGGCAGCAAGGAGGGCGATACAACAGTTGGCAGATATGGCGAACAAGTAACTAATTCCAATGGACAACGCTTAATTGAGCTTTGCCAGGGAATGTCGTTGAAGATTATGAATGGCTTCTTTCCTCATAAAAACATCCACAGGTTCACATGGACACAACCTACTAGAGGGCTTTGCTCAATAATTATGAAACAAAAATCTAGAATAAATAATCTGGACGTAAGGGTATATCGGGGTTTAGAATGCGGCTCAGATCGTCACTTAGTGGTAACAAGACTAGTAGTAAATTACAGAAGAAAAAACAACATAAAAACAGAGGATGGAGGGAAAAAAAATAATAACACACAAGTCGAACGAAGATATAACTTAGACAGTTTTCTACACAATTTTTATACAAACTAAGGTTAAATTTTTATACAAACTAAGGTTAGCTACAACGAGTAAGAAAGGAACAGACAGACTAACCAAAACTATACAACGACATAAAAAGAGATATACACGAGGCAGCAGAAGAAGCCTTGGGCCGCAAAAGGAAAAGGCTTAACAACCCAGAATGGTGGACAAAACAAGTGGAGGATGTAATTAAAGAGAAGAAGAAGGCATATCACCACTGGCTAAACACTAAAAGGGATGAAGATAGAGAGATATATGCAGAACTAAATAAAGAATCAAAAAGACTAGTTGAAAGAAGCAAAAATGAGCGCTGGGAAAAGACATGCGAAGAAGTAGGTAGATTCATGGGCGGCACAACAGTATCGGAAGCATGGAAAATAATAAAGAATCTAAGGAAAATTACAAAGGAGACTAGTAAATTAAACGTAATTGGGGTAGAAACATGGCGAACGTATTATAAAACGCTACTAACTGAAAATAGGCCGAATTCCAAATGGACGGTATAGACATGAACATCGTGTACATAAAATCACAATAACAGAAATTAAAAGAGCCCTAAAGGAATCGAAAAATAAAAAAGCCGCTGGACCCGGAGACATGCCCATATATTACTAGAACTATTAGAAGAACTATTCAATAAATGTATACGCGGAGATCAAATACCCGAGGACTGGAATTTAGGATATATTAGCTCTGTATATAAAAAGGGAGATAAAAATTTGTGTCATAATTACAGAGGCATAACGGTTATTAGCTCAATGGGAAGGTTGTACGGTCGAATACTCAAAAGAAGAATAGAAGACAACTTCCAAGAAATAGAAGAACAAAGCGGTTTTCGAACGGGAAGATCCTGTATAGATAATATATTTGTCTTGCGACAACTAATGGAAAAACGTAGAGCCCACAACTTAACTACCCATTTAGTATTTATAGATCTTGAAAAAGCATGACACGGTAACCTTAAAAAAAATGTTTGAAGTATTAATGACAACCGGACTCAACAATGTATATGTATATATAAAGATGCGACGAGTGTAATCAAGACGGGAGTACATAGATCGAACCGTTTTTCAGTGAACAAAGGATTAAAACAAGGCGGTAACATGTTCCCTACTCTATTCAAAATATATATTCAGGCAGCCCTAAGAGAGTGAAGGGAAAAAATAGCAAGTATGGGGGTAAATTTAGATGACAAATATTTGACGAGCCTCTTTTTTGCAGACGATCAAGTGATTATAGCTTGCGACGAAGACGACGCAGATTACATGCTGAGAAAACTGAAAGAACACTATAAGAATTGGGGACTGAACATGAATATGCAGAAGACTGAATATATGAAAGTAGGGGGAAAACCCGAAGATGAAGATCCTGAACTATACAGTGTGTCCAAGATAAGGATGCACAGCATGGGGATCTCGGAAACTATAAGAGATACAGTGTCGGTTTAATTAGACAAAAGTTGCGCATTTTGATACCGAACAAGATCCCGTTTTACAAATTTGAAAATTCCAAGCCGTTCCGGAAATATCCGAGAAAAACCGAAATATTGCGATTTCGTTTTTATTATTTTTTAAAGCTATTTGAAAAGATATGAAAAAACGGAAAACACTTTTCCATTGGCACTTTTTAATCTCTCCAAATTGACGTTAACAAATTTTCATTACAGCGTTTCGATTCCATGGAACCACCATCAACTTTGATTTTTCTTATGGGACGGAAAAATAGTACACACAGTATTAGGTTGTGCTTTTCATTGCGAATTCAACGATGTACGATACAATATGGTTACTTATGTTTTTATCCAGAAAAATGGATTTTTAATACATTTTAGCATTTAAATGGAGTAGGCCATGACAAAATGACATCCTGTCAATTTCAATGACACATTAATGTTATTTGTCTTTGTTATCAGTCGATCATAAGTTTATTCCTTTAGTTATTGTTTTTGTATTTTTATTGTTGTTGTCTTTTTCTAATTTATTTTGTTCTACAATGGAGGGAGGTAATTTTACAAACGAAGAAAAATGTGATATGCTGTTTTGCTACATCTGATGCCAAAGAAATTGTGTGGAAGCCGAGCGTATGTATTCTAACAAATGCCCAGAGCGGAGACAACCTGACAAGAGTATTTTTCGGCGTTTGTTATTTAATCTGAAAGAATATGGATCATTTAAGAAGCCTGCATTATCCCGACAAAAACCTTCCAATGAAGAAAACCAATACATTGTTCTACAATCTGTTATCGAAAATCCACAAACTTCTACCAGAGAAATTAAAGACCAGAATGGGGTAGCTAAATCTACAGCTCAGTTTATTTTAAGGAAAAATGAATTTAAGCCTTACAAATTCAGAATATGTCAAGGATTAAAACCGGGTGACGACGAACGACGTAGACATTTTTGTGAGTGGTATACCAGGATGTGTGATGAGAGTTTTAATTTTCCATATAAAGTGATTTGGTCTGATGAAAGTATGGTGACCAATAACGGTATTTATAACAGGCGCAATACACACTATTGGTCGCAACAAAATCCACGTGTTAATAGACTATCCAGACATCAAGTTCGCTTTGGGTTTAATATTTGGTGTGGGATTTTTGGTAGCAAGATTATAGGCCCTATTTTCTATAATAATTCCTTAATTTCCGAGCGGTACCTTGACATCTTGAGGCACGATTTAGAAGATGCCTTAGATGATTTACCGCTAGGCGCTGTGCAAGGCTGCTGGTTCCAACAAGATGGTGCCCCAGCCCATAACTCCAGAGAAGTTCGCCAATATTTAACTGAACGGTTTGATGGAAAATACATTGGGACTTACAGTGAAACACCTTGGCCTCCAAGGTCCCCGGACTTAACTCCCTTGGACTTTTTCTTATGGGGCTACATAAAAAATGAGGTATTCAAAGAATGTTTTGACAACGAGGAACAATTACGTCAATCAGTACGAGCAGCGTTTAATAAAATTACTCCTGAAATGTTAAGTCGTGTTTTGGAGTCTACCGTGAGACGGGCGTACTTATGCCTAGAAAATGGAGGTCATTTATTCGAACATTTGTTATAGAATTTGTTTTTCATTAACTTGTTGGATTTAGTTGTTATGTTAAATGAACAGTTAGAGTTAGTAAATAAATAAACACATTAACTCGAACTTGTCAACCATTTTCTTTTGCCTTTCATCGTTCGGATCTCATGGCCTACTACAATAAAATACTAGAAATGTATTAAAAAGCCATTTTTCTGGATAAAAACATAAGTAACCGTATTGTATCGTACATCGTTGAATTCGCAATGAAAAGCACAACCTAATACTGTGTGTACTTTTTTTCCGTCCCATAAGAAAAATCAAAGTTGATGGTGGTTCCATGGAATCGAAACGCTGTAATGAAAATTTGTTAACGTCAATTTGGAGAGATTAAAAAGTGCCAATGGAAAAGTGTTTTCCGTTTTTTCATATCTTTTCAAATAGCTTTAAAAAATAATAAAAACGAAATCGCAATATTTCGGTTTTTCTCGGATATTTCCGGAACGGCTTGGAATTTTCAAATTTGTAAAACGGGATCTTGTTCGGTATTAAAATGCGCAACTTTTGTCTAATTTAACCGACACTGTATCTCTTATAGTTTCCGAGATCCCCATGCTGTGCATCCTTATCTTGGACACACTGTATATTAGAAAAATAAAAAGAGCTACAAATTATAAGTACTTGGGAAGTGTCATAACGGAAGAAGGTAATTCAAAAACAGACATTCAGCAGGGGAGAAGAGCAACTCAAGCGCTTAATACCTTGTTGTGGTCCAACGGTATTAAAAGAGGTGCGAAAATTAGAATATATGAAGCAGTTGTGGAACCCATCTTAACGTACGGCGCAGAATGCTGGCAAATGACGAAGAACGACAAGAAAGTTATCGACACAGTAGAAATGGATTTCTTGAGAAGAGTATGCCAAGTGTCGAGAGTAGAACACGTCAGGGATGAAGAAATACGAAGAGGAACAGGGAGAATACACTGACCGAACAGAAACTGGACAACTTATATGGTATGGGCACGTACAGAGAATGAACGACGAGAGTTGGCCAAAAAGAGCACTAAAACATACCCCCAAAAACAGAAGGAAAAAAGGAAGACCTATGACTTCGTGGAACGATGGTATAAGAAATATAAAGAAGGACAGAGCAATTAAAGAAGAAGAATGGAGGAATAAAGATAAATGGCGGTCGAAATGTGGGATGCGGCAGACGCTGTAGGAACCCCACTGGATATATATAAAAAGGATATACTCATACTTAGTTAAAGGTTTCCTTTAAAACCAATTGAATATTTCTTAAGATAGTTCAAAGTGTCAATATATTAGTTATTAGTTAAAAATTTCCACAGGCTGCTGTAATACTTTTTACAAAACTTCTGGATTCTTCCTGCGTCGGTTTTTGCTGAGCCGAACTTGCCGACGTTTCGCCTGTTCGTTCCTGTTGGCTTCTTCAGAGCTGAAATAGTTTCAGTCAAGCTCTGAAGAAGCCAACAGGATGATTGGCGAAACGTCAGCAAAAACCGACGCAGGAGGAATCCAGAAGTTTTGTAAAAAGTACCTATAGATTTGTACTGCGAAAAATTATGAACTCACTGTTCATATTTATTTATTATTTATTGCCTTGATGTTTCTTCAAACCACCTTTATTTTTTTATAACTTGTAATTAACTCCTTAAGTGCATTAGTTCACATTAGATCACAGACTGAGTTCATTAAAATTATTTATTTTTGGCTTTCCCTGATCATATAATTTCCTTGTTAATATCCCCTAGACGTGGTCTATCGGATTTAGATCTGGACTAACTGCTGGCCATTCTAATAACTGGATACCAAGGTCTTTAAACCACTATTCTGCAGTTGCAGTTTTGTTTTCGTCTTAAGTCGGCGTAATGTATGGTAGAAAGCAATCCCGTAACGCTATTTATTACATATATTAAGCAAATATATCTTCTGGCGGATGCGTTGGGTTTAAATTTTTAGTAGATTTTAGAATTGCAGTTCCATTAACTCTTAATGTCCATAACGATAGTGTATGGGCTTTTAATGGCGCATGGATAAGGGGGGGGTGGGGGGGGGAGAACTGATAGAAAATAAAGTAAAACACATCGTGCCGTTAGTGTAAGGAGTATAATTCATTTGTAATTTTTACAAAAATTAAGTTCACATTTCACACCTAAATCAAAGAAGGTACTCATACTTACTGCACTAGTATATACATATTTTTTATAGTTCATCCATATCTATTTTTATTATACACTGTTTATAATAATGAAAATATTTTTTCAATAATTTATGTCCTTTAGAACACCCAAACAAGACAATGGAATAAACATTTACATGATTTTTTATATTCATTTTTTGGGGAGCATACCTCAACACAAAAAAGGGCGACCGTGCCGTCGACTGTCATGGCGGTCTCGGCTTTCCTCGAGTACTTGTAATTATGTAATTTGATATCGGTATTGATATAAAAATTGTGCATTGTTATAATATCATACGAAACGACAACCCAACATACTGCCTATCGAAAATGGTTAAGGCGTTGGGCACCCCAGCGCTGACGGTGAACAAAGTGCGAATTATCTGTGATGAAGTATGCCACAGACATGTACAGTTTATATTAAAGCTAAAATCGGTAATGTAATGTTGTGGGGGCGGGGTCAGGGAGGGAGAGCACATTTTATCATATTATATTTTTCGAAAAACAAGCGCTTCACGTCGGCAACCAAGGCTGCGGGCCCGAATGTTTCGTTGCGAATGAAAAACGAGAGTATAACCTCCATTACTGCGACGTGACGTCGGGAAATAAATCCATATTACGCGTATATATAATATTAAGATCTTTACTTCGGGGATATCTTAATTTTTATCACATGGTTTCAACGTCCTTCCACAATGGTAGATTACGATAGATAGCACAGTTGTCCTATATTAAAGTACACTATCGAGGAATTTATCACATAACTATACAAGAACGGCGCGTGGAGTGTGTGTCCCAGGTTAACGTTTGGGGGGGGGGTCTTTCTTCTCCCGTCGTGAAAAAAATATGGAAAGCGTACGGGGTCGGCTTTACGACGATATCCGAATGATGTTATTTTGGCGGATGCGCCGGGCGTAAGTACGGCTGGCGCATAGGCGTTTCCGATTAAATTATAAATATCAGTAAAGCGACGGTCTTTTACATCGAAGGCAAGAGACGGGTGAACTTGTGGCGGATGCGCCGGCGACGAAAAATTAATACGTTTTCGAAGCGCGACCCCGTGTGCGTGTGCTAAAAGTCAGTCGGTAGAGCGCGGTGGGCGGGCACCGTGTCGCGTGAAACGACGGGAGGTGGGGGCGGGGAGACAACGATTAAATACACGGTTACGAACCGTATTCTTTTTCGTCATACCACCGGCTCCTCGCGCTTGAAATTTATGTTCTGGGACGCGCAAAAGTCCCTCGTCAACGGTAAACAATTGAAGTACGAGCACACCCTGCAATCGTACACGGGTATGATGTAAAAGAGGAGGACGAGACAGACGAACAGGGTGCCGGCCGCGATCAGACACACCCATATGAGGAATACCTTCTTGTGACGGTCATAAGGGCCGAACGAGACGAACGGGAGTAGGGCGTACGAGAGAAGGAACCCGAAAGCGAACCCGAAGAGGTGTGCGAAATTATCGACCCACGGCAGCAGACCGACGACGAAGAGTGCGGCGGTGACGGCGAGCAATTTGCACAGCGCCTGGTTCGGGTGTTTGAGCATGGGACGCGCGTTCAGCACCTCCACCACGAGGCAGGCGAGCAGGCCGAATTGGGAACCCGCAGGACCCACCTGAAAAGCGAACAAAAGTGAATTTCATCGTTGAGAAAACGCCCCCGCGTTGCGACTTACGTCTGCCCGATAGGGGACGAATATAGCGCTGGCCAAATTGCCTGCCACGCCCGAACCTATATAAATAATGGCGATACGTAAAGAGCCGGTCAGTTTCTCCAAGTCGCGCATCAGGAAATGCTGGACCAGGACGGTGATGAGCAGCTGCAAAACGCCCGCGTGCAAAAACAGGGACGTCCACAGGCGGTAGAATTGGTCAGGCACGTCGGGCAGGTAGAACGGGATCATGCCGCAGACGTCGTTCAAGCACGACACCTGGGAAAAAGATTTTTTTTTTCCAAATTGACATTTGAGATACGGCCAATTCGGGAACGCAAGTATAAAGTTTCAAGAACCCCTGCACTTTATGTTATCGTCGGTATACAAGAGCAAATTTTCTAGAATTCAATTTGTAACAGTAAAATGTTCAAAACATTATATATTTTGTAAGTAGATTTTTTGCAATTGTTTAATGTAAAATAAAATTACAAGAGAAAATGACCAAAAGGTTCCAACTTCGTCCTTGCGCCACGTATTATCCCAAAAGAGGAAATCATTTCAGTCAGTCTATCCTAAACAAATTGCCATCTTCAGCAGCCAATGAGATTTGATTTGAAACCGCAAAAATCCTTAAAAAATCAACGAATCGCGCTAAAATCTCTAAAATCCAATCCAGACATCGTGATCCTAAAAGGAGATAAAGGAAATGCTACGGTAGTCATGAATATCAGGAAAAGATTCAAGATATTCTTACAGACGGATCATATCGTCAACTTAAAAGAGATCCTAGGCCATCTATGAATCGCAACCTTAAATCTGTTATTAAGGCTTCTTCTCTGTCAGGCTCCGTGAAAAAATCTCACGACTCTAAAATTCCTCGTCTCTACAGACTCCCAAAGATTCACAAACCAGGATTACCCCGTCGACCTATTGTCAGCACCATTGGTTCGCCAACATATTCTCTAGCAAAATATCTAGATTCCTTATTAAAACCCCTTACAGGGAAAACTGACAGTTTCGTCCTTAATTCCTTTCACTTCATTGAACAATTAAAAAGTATTATATTAGATAAACAAGATGTTCTAATTAGTTTCGACGTAGAAACCATCTTTACCAAAGTTCCTATTCCTGAAACTCTCGACATCATTTTCGATATATTAAAATCCGAGAATCTGGAACCAAACCTACTCACCTTAATTGAAAAATACTTATCGGGAATATATTTTTCTTTTCAAACAAACGTGGGGAACAGCTATGGGTTCTCTCTATCACCAGTCATCGCGAATATATTTATGGAAGCCTTTGAGAAGAAAGCTCTCTACACCTTTCATCTAATACCAAAATTATGGAAACGGTACGTCGATAATACTTTTGTTATTTGGCCTCATCGTCAAGAAACCCTAGTAGATTTTCTTAGACACTTAACATACGTTTTACCATTGAGTTGGAAACTAATAATGACCTTCCATTCTTAGATATTCTTGTCAATAGAAAATCAGACCTAACATTGGGTCATTGTGTTTACAGAAAACCTACGCTCTACCTGTCACCAATTTCATTACCTCATTACCGCCCCCCTCAAACAATATATAAGCAGGTACAGGGTAAAATACGAGCCAGTTTCAGCAAAAATCGACGCAGGGGGAATCCAGAAGTTTTGTAAAAAGTAAAAATGACCAAGTTCTCCTGATACCATTGCTTCGAAACTCCGAATACATGACTGCCTTTTTTTTATTTATCGTTCAAGTTTCACCTATAGGAATTATAACACATAACTTCTTAGAAGAAGTCATCGTACGTTCGATGTATAGTGCAATAGAACGAGCCAAAAGGTATATCCCTGTTTGTTAAGGATTAAATAACATTTTTCGGTAATTTTATATTTTTTTTCCTTTGAGTTGACCTTTTATTATTTATATTTATTATTTTATTTTCGCGCTGTGTTGTGGTCCTTACCACCCTCCAGACAATACCACTAAGAAGACCCGGCCGGGCAGACGACGACGTGGGAAACCATCAAGGCGGGTGATTAACCGTTTCGGGTGTTGTATGTCCTACCGTTTTCTTGCCGCCCTTTCCCGTTTAAGTTTTGAGGGTGATTTACAACCACTTTCCCCAACCCTTTACACTGTCTTTTGCTTAAATGACTGGACAACAATTACGACAGTAGCACAATCCAAGAGAGGAAAAAATGAAATTTCAAGTGCGAAGTGCGTATAATGTTCACCAGCTGACGTACAATGACTTTATCAATCTTAAAGAACTCAGGAAATCAACATTAAAAAATGCTATTCGAGATGAAAGTGGTCAAAGAGTAAAATGGCTGAAGGTCAAACAACTCCGATATGAAAAAGGAACAAAAAATTTGATATTGTTCAGATACAATTACGATGAAGAAGACAAAGTTCTAAATGTAAGAGCAAAAGTAAAGGGTAGATCCAGTAGTACGCCGAAAGAATCATATTTCAAAAAGTGCTACTCAAAACGATTGCGAATATCCAAAAACAAAAAGGATGACTGAGTTAAATTTTGCCGAACTGGAGTTATTCCTAATGAGTATCATGTAATAATTCCATAAGACACAAAGCAATGAAGAAGTATTGCTGACTCGAAATTGCTGACGTTTCGCCAATCATCCTGTTGGCTTCTTCAGAGCTTGACTAAAACTGGTTTGTATTTTACTCTGCTTATATATTGTTTGAGGGGGCGGAGCTAACGGAGGTGACATGACATTAAGTCGCCGTTAAGGTTGTTATTGTTGTCTATAGAAGAAAGATGTTGAGAGATTGGCAAAGTGATGTTTTGAATGTAAGGAATAACAACAGTGGCAAGTGTGGGGTGGGTGAAACGCTTAATATCTCTAATGCGGAAATTATTAGAGAGTAGAGCAAATGTAAGGCGTAAACACCGTCTCGGATGACTTATTCCCATATTGGTGACAGGTAGAGACTTGAGTCGCGGTTAAGTTTGTTAGTTTGTTTATAGATTTCTGCAGACTCTCGGATTTTTCGTTGGTAGAAGAAGTGATTACATGCAAGAATTTTAGTTTTATCGAATAAAATTTTATGTCCAGTTTCATGAGTGTGTTCGGCAACAGCTGATGAGTTCATTTGTCTTAGTCGTAAATCTCTTTCGTGTTCTTTGAGTCTAGTTGATATTTTTCGTCTGGTTTCTCCAATGTATTCTTTGGCATGGAATGCTGTAAACTCCTGGCATCTCAAATGGACGGACCGAAGATGTTGAGAGATTTTTGGACAACTGGTAACATCTGGTTTTGACGTTATACTTCTTTAGAACTTTTGATATGTGGTCAGTGATGTTTTAAATGTAAGAAAGGACTACAGTGGCAAGTGTAGGATTGCTTTCGGCCTCATTGCTATTGGAAGGTTGTGGTGAAGGGTGTTTTTTGATGGAACGTTTAATATCTTTAATGTGGAAATTATTAGAGAGAAGAGCAGAGGTAAGGTGTTTTAATTCTGGGTTCAGTGCCTCGGGCTGAGATATTTTTATGGCTCTGTAAACAAGAGAATTGATAACCGATGATTTTTGTTCCGGATGGTGATGTGACCATGTATTAAGGTATTGGTCCGTGTGCATTCTATTCTATTCATAAGAATATTTAAGAATGGAAGGTTATTATTAGTTTCCCACTAAACTAACCAAAATAAACTTACAAGAAATAATTGAATTTTATATTTGTTCATAAATCTTCAAATATCAATAGCTGTTAATATCGGACTTGGTCACTTTCTCTTGTATACCGACGATATACTGTCTGTCGTTTTACCTTATTCCTTAGTCAACGCTATCTACGACGAAATAACACTCCCGTTACTAAAGTTTGAAGTGTAGGCGCAGTTATAAGTAGCAAAACGATAAGTTACGAAAATAACAAATATAGTGGGTTATGATTTAGAAAAAAATGAGGGACAAGTATGTTTCAAAATATTTATTATGATTAAGTAGGATTTTGTTTGTTTGTTTGTTTGTTTTTGTTGAAATGGGAGCTGCCGAAGTTGCCCAATGATCCAATGTGAGCAAGAAACATGTGGGACAAAAATAGTTTCATTGATTTTGAATGTGTAAATTTAGATTTTTAAAAATAGAATTCTCTTCTCATTAAAAAAATAGTTTTGTTTTTTACTCCTACCTCCAACTTGATACTGTGGTATCAATATTTCTATTTTCAAATATTAAAAAATGAACCCTGCCAAATTCGAAGCCAGTGTAATATTTCCATTTGTTTATATTTGATGCATCATCCATTAACGGAAATCTTCAATTGTCTTTTGTTAGAAAACTAGACTGTTCCAATTTTGGAGTCAACAAATCCGTCATTAAGTCATGGATTTTAGTTTTTCTTTGCTATTTGTTGTAGTGTACCTTTTTCACTTTTTATGTCCTTAAAAGTAATATAATATCATAGATTAATGAAAACGAATGTTTTTGCATTTTGAATTAAAATCCATAAGCTTGTATAGTATTCTATAGTTGTTACATATTTGAATAAGTACTTTGATGGTAAATTTTTGTGGCAGAGGCATTTATAGTTTCCTTTTAGATTTTTCAAACATGCACAATATTCAATTTAATCCGGTTTGGCGATCATGCCACTGCGGGAGTCCTAAAACCTTTTTTCAATGTGTGGGATGGATACAATTCAAGAATTTGTTAGATCACTAACATTATTTTTAAATTAAAAGGGGTCGACCATAAAAAATATTGAGCATTTCCTATTGAGGTGAAGACAAGTTTTTCCTTTAAATAACGAAAGAAACCCAGACCGAATCGAACCTTTTATGGAGGGTGAAATCTCATAAGTCCCTAATTGCAATGTATACTATATTCCATGTAATTTTCTCAAATAAAACTTATGCGTGAGTGATGGGATGGGCACAGACCTGCGAACACAGCGACGCTTCCTCGTGGAATGTCCCCCGGACGAAGTCGCAGTACTCTCTCGTCGTGATGCGACACTGGCCGTGGATTCCTATGCAACACGGGTGGCCAATCACCTCGCAGACCATGTGCTCTGCCGGTTTGTCCCTGCTGCTGCCTTTTTCTCGCCTCGCCTTGCGACATATCGGCCACTTGGTGATGTCGTCGGGCCACTCGTACGGGTGGACGCTGGCCGGAGCGTCGCAGTACCTGCGCACAAATAAACAGTAGCATTTTAAATGTGCTGTGATAACGGTTGAATCAAAACAATTTCAATTTTGGTTAGTTTTAGAATTATTTAAATCTGACATGTCCACTTACTTAGGATCGAGACCGCAAACAGAGCCCGATATCCTCCCGCCGGGCCCCGCGTCTCCCGACGTCCACTTTTTCCACTTGGATATTATTTTCTACAATACAGTATCCATGATTAGGTAACCTCGCGTTTATCCAACATAAACAGGACGTGGCTCACTCGCGTGTGCGGCGGTTTGATGCTCTGCCATTGAACCCACCAATCTCGATACTCTACGCATGTCACTGAGGTTTTATTTTAAGGCAGTTTTACACTGACGATAAAATCATGAAATAATTAATGAATTTCTTCATGAAGTTGCTGACTAAATACACTGGCTTTACTTTGGGAAGGAGCTTCGTCAATTTATTTGCAGTTAACAGTCAAAATGTTATTTAATAGTTCAACCGACATATGGTATTTTGAGGTTATGTTGGACTATTTTTGTTTATAATTTTTTGCTGCCTTATATCGGAAGGTGGTAGAAAGGGGGCTTAAAATTGTGTTTTAAGGGGACTCTGAACAGGAAAGCATTGATAAAATATTGATTCTTGTGAAAGTCCAGATAGAAAAAATGAACACAAATTTTGTACAGCTCAGTCAACTATTTTCTTATTTGTACCAAAATTTTGTAAAATGGTATATGATGGATGCTTTTAAGAGTGAATTTCTACAACTAAACCAATTTACTTTACTGTTTGAGGAGTCTAATTATAATTATATTGTTGGTGGGGTTAGTCTAGTATTTTCCGAGCAAATCCAGTTACTTACTTTACGCATTGTAAAACATTATGTCAGTGTTAAGTCAGTCTGAAGTTCACTGAAAATTGTTCTGGCCTAATAGATATACAAAATATCTTGTATACTGATATGCTCTAAATAGATGTAATGTACTGAACAGCTTTTAATTCTTTGCAAAACCAAAAATTGTGTTTTTTTGAGAAACTTTTATTTCTAAATTAATCGAGTGATTTTTTTTTTGATGTATAAAATTATACTGCCCACCTTTGCAGTTACTCTTTATTTATACTAAATTGCATTTGCATATCCTTTTTGCTATTGGTAAAAGATATTTCAATAATGTTCACAAATGTTGCATCCGTTTCCTTCGGAGGGTGATAGATTCGTTCAATGCCTTCTAATTAAAGTACCTTTGAGGTTATGAAAAAAAGTTCAGAAAATGGCCGAATGATCCTAGTAGTCTTGGCCAATAGAAGTGAAGGAAAAAGAAGAGCCTTTGTTTTTGATTCATATTACATAGATGGCATTACCGAATTGAAGAACTGGGTGAATTTGTGCGACGAGAATTTAATATCGGACTAGTGTATTACACTCGTGATATTGGATGGTCAACCAACTTCATAAATTAATTCATGACGAAATTGTCGGTGCAAAACTGATATTAGAGGTTATATTTTTAAAAGGTGGTGATCAGACCGCCGCTCGCTAGAGATACGCCCAACAACGTTCGACGACAACATACCATAGGTCTCAGTCCTCTCAACTGACGTAAGCGATAAAACAAAAGGCAAATGTAGACTCCGCGTGGCGACAAACGCACTATCAAAAAGTACTCACCGAACAATCGGCCTGCGAAGACTGCACGCAGCCGGAATCGTCGTTCCGGATGCAGCAGGCGGTCTCCTTTTCTTTCTTCCTGATCTTCTCGATCTGCTGGGTGATCTTGTCGTCGTTTCTCATGCACGGAGCGAACTTGGCGCCCAAGTGGATGAGGTCAGCGGCCCGAGGACCGAACCAAAAATTGGCTGGTTCCGTGTAGTCGACCTGTTGTAAGCTGAGGCTCGTCACGAGCACCTGACCCGATTTGGCCTGAAGGTTAACGCCGAACGGTCCGAAACCATAGCAGGCGATCGATATGAGAAGGACGAGCACTTGGACCGTCGTCACCCAATAGGTGAACAACGGCCGATGATCGTCCATGTCGTCTAGTTGGCGCCTTACGTCACTGTCGGTTATCACCGAACGTCGGTACGTACGTCTACGAAAACAGAGGACGTTACTGCTATAGATTATTCAAACTAACATCGGTTACATATGCATCGTTGGTTTGGCTGGTTGGTAGACCCATACAGATATTAGATAATAATGTACTGACCCTACTAAGTTAAAAAATTATGCGCCTCTAGTCGCTATGCGCATGTCTATATAGTTTGTCTTTCTAAAGAGCGATAGCACCACATGGTGTTATTGTTAGAAAGGCAGTTGCAGTGGCAGATTGATTTTAGTTAGGACCTCTATCAGATCTATTTTGTTTCAACAATGATATGATCGTGGTTAAATAACAATTTTGGTAGAACTTTAAACTAGGGGTATGTAAAATCGTATTCTGTTTCTTTCATCTTAACAATAACACTTTTTAAACAAGACAGTAACCAACACTTCTGATGAACTGGGCAATTGATTCCTGGGCCTCTGGTCGGATTCACTTTTAACGATTTTTTGCTAGAACCAAAGAAGAATGTGAACCTGTGAACATAACCTACCACAAGAAAGGTTCCATAAAATGTAGAAAGCGATTGAAATTAGTGTCGGTTAATGTAAAATAGTGTTTTGTATATTTGTTATCTTAGTGATAGAGGCGCAGTGCCTATAAATTTGGGAAATAGTGTTCGTTTTAATTATGGCAGCTTTCCAGTTTATGAAGAAAAAATGACCAGCAGTCTTGACCAATAGAAGCAAAAGAAGAAGAAGAATCTATCATAGATAATCTACGTCCTAAGCGTGTTTCTTGGTTTTCTTGTAACGATAAGTAAACTGTTCGCGAAAATTAGTTTGCTTCTGTCGAAATATGCCCTAAGATTCTGTATTCTGTATCATCTGTAAAAAATGTAACATATCTGAAGGGACAATGCTACTTACAGCATGTTGACTAATTACTTAATATAAATGCTGTAAAGTGTTAACCACCAGGATCATAGAAATTGAAACTGATAAAAACCAAGAATGTACCGTGTATTCATCGTGGAGCTTGCATAATGGCATTGTTAAATTTTGAGAAACATTATAGATTGTTAGCCATAATTGTTACTTCGTAACAATATTTAAATTAGCCTTTTGCCCGGGTTTTCTAAAATATTTCAGATGGCTATTTGCAAAAGACTCTTAGCAGCATGGTAATGTAGCTAATAAATCAACATAAAGGGCTATATTTCAATTTATTAAAACAATTTTAAAACACTTGGGGGGCGAAAGAATAGCTTTAGGTGCGTGTTATAGTTATTGCTCAAAAAATTGGATCTATACGGTGTAAGAGGTAATGTTCTAAAATTGTTTGAATCATAATTAATAGGAAGGAAACAACAAGTAAGAATAACCCAAAATGGCAGTAGTTATTTTTGGGATATTAAGGAAAATAGTCTGGGCAAAGTACAAGGTCCAATTTTATTTATCATTTTTGTGAACGACTTGTATTTCGTAACACAGTCAGAAGAAGAGAGCATAATATGCTATCCGGATGATACCAACCTGCTTGTATGTGGAAATAATCTCACTGAGGTTAGTGATAAAAGCCACGATATTTTTACAAGGGTTTATGACTGGTTTCTAGGAAATAAATTGATATTAAGCAAAGAGAAAACAAATTTAATTATGTTTAGAACTAAATCATGTAGAGTTGAAATACCATTAGGAATAGGGATAGGTAAAGAAAATATTAGTATTGTAAATAGCACTAAATTATTAGGTTTACAAATTGACGAATTTGTTATGGAATTAGAGTCGTTGCAAATTATAATTAATAAGGAAACTTTTAAAATTATGTACTTTGCAAACTTTCAGTCGCGCATGAGGTAATGGGGGGGGGGGGGGGTAGTGGTTAACTACAGAAAATTTTCGATGTTCAAAAGAGGACTCTTCGCACTGTCAAAAAAATGCAATTTAGTGGGAGCTGCAGAGGGGTGTTCAAGGTTGAAGGTATTTTTACTGTTTATGCTTTATCGAAAGGACTTCGAACTACAGATATTTCACAGATATAATACCAGAACCCTAAATGTAAACTACCCTATTCGCCGTTTAACCTTATTTGAAAGGAGTCCTTATTACATGTGCCTAAGATTGTATAATAAATTACCAAATGAAATAAAAACAATTGCAAATCTAAAAATCTTTAAATACACAATAAAAAAGTTTATAAAAATAAAAATATTTAAATAATTGTTTCGAGGAATTGAATTTGAAACTGCCGCGTGAACATCGATTTAATTGACCTAGTCTGGGGTACATTCGAATGAATGAAGACAATTGAATAATTTCGAACGATTCAAACAAAAAAAAATCCGATCGGATCCAAGGTGTTATAAAATAAGCGAGATTTCACTTCCTGTAAGATATATAACGTCATTAAAACATCCATTTATTGTTTAACCATTGAATTTGGTTGTGGTTATGATTTAGTTAGGCACAAGTAGGGTTTTTATGACGACCAAATTATATAATGACATTTGCATACCCTGTACACACCTATCGCTTAGTATAGGGAACTCATCCAGAAAATTATATTTTAGTGTTAATCATAACGCGCGATATTGCTCATTACTACAAAAATTACTCATCTTTACTTATCTTCTTCTCATGAATAAAACTTACCCGAACAGTCTCCCGACCCAACCCATCCCGTACATTCTTCTATCCGAATTGTCTAGGACGTGGTCCAGAGTATTCGACAGGATCCTCGATATACCGATGCTGGGCCTTTGCTCTCCATGTCTCAGTACCACGTCCTCGTGATCCCTTCTCCAACCACCTGGAGGTATGTTCGCCGAATATCTGCGGACGTTAAACTCAGATCTTAGAATTTGAGCCACGCCCACCGCCTCCAAAGGTTTACCTTCTGTGGACGTGGTCGGCGACGATGCCATCGTCTATCCTCAACCTCGCGCCTCTGTCTACCGCGTCGGCGCCGCCCATGTCTGCCGGGGGTTTCTCGAAAAACGCTCGCTCCTCGTCCGGGGTGCTGACCACGTCACGAGCGGCAACAGGGGGTATTTCGGAAGGGTAGCTCCGGGACCACGACGATGTGGGCGTGGTCCGTTGGCGGTGGCGTGTCAAGGTCTGAAAGCGACGCAATAATAATAATACTTTGTTGCCAACCAAATCATTATGTCATCAGCAATGTCACAAAGGGTGAATTGAATACTTGGAAACAAGCAACACAAGATTATGTTTAAAATACAATTAAAATGGAACTTTGCAAACACTTACATCACAAAATTAAAATTATAGAACCATTTGTCAAGGAGCCATTTATAAATATACTCTTCTCTCATTCTAAATGCTTTTATTGCCATATAGTAGGGGCCCTTTTTTAAAAAAAGCAGACGTACGAATGGTGTTGAACTTCTAGCAAGCATATCTTCTGAATGAAGGTTCTGGTTGATTGCAAACAAGTGTTGATATTTTTCTTTACAACCATGACCGACGACAAGAAATATAAAGGAGGTAGTATGGCTAAAGTATGGTAGAGGAGCTCCAGAAGAACAGACCATTTATAATCCCAAAAATTTGATTTTCCCTATAGCTGTTATAGTTTGCCTATGATTGAGCATAACATTTACTGAGTCAGATGTGCTGATGCAGACCTATCTGCATTTGCTAAGAAAAGATTATTCCAACTTCTCCACTCAGAATTTGCCTAAAAACTTGTACGTTATGACAGATGATCTGCAGAAGAACAGCCCATAAGACAGTGAATCCACTTGTAATCCCAATGTAATTATGCAGACCTATCTGCATTTCCAAGTTCCCCGCTCAGAATTTGACTAAAAATTTGTACGTTATGTACGTTATCGTAGAGGAGCTCCAGAAGAACAGCTCATAAGACAGCGAATCCACTTGTAATCCGGAAAATTTGATTTTCTCTGTTATAATTTGCCTATGATTGAGCATAACATATACTGAGTCCGATGTGCTGATGCAGACCTATCTACATTTGTTAATAAAACATTATTCCAAGTTCCCAATTCAGAATTTCACCGTCAAAATTCAAGGCGTGAGAAATATCTCCGAAAACATCCGATTGCTCCCAAATCCGTGCGGTAAAATCCCGGAAATGGCCGAAGTGATTGGGAATTATGGGAAACGAAACTGACGTGGTAAAGTGACGCTTCCCGCACGCTAGATCGATGGGTAATTAGATATTTTACAGACGGGAGTAGAAGAACACCTTTAAGTGTTAGGGTTGAAGAACATAAGAATTATTTTTCAAAGAAACTTCCACAGGTCAGAGGGAATAAAGACCAAGGATTGTGAAAAATGGAGTAAGTGCGTCGAACATGTGATTAAAATAGAAGAAATAATGCGAGAAGCTAATAAGACGCTAGAAAATGCCCCTGCGTCAGTTGTCGATGAACTGAACTTGCCTGTTTCAGTTAAACTCTGAAGAAACCAACAGGATGATTGGCGAAACGTCAGCAAGGGGGGACGCAGAAGATTTGTAAATAGTAACATAGAAAAGACACAATGAGACGAGAAAAGTTGGGAATCCCTAAATATGTATCGACCAAACAACATCTATCTGATATTTGCTATCTGGTAATCTTTACTAGAACCTTTAATAGAGCGCACCAATGTTGGACGTCCTAGCGGGACAACCTCACCCTGTTGTCTACCATAGAAGCCCCGTAGCCTCGGAACTGACATTAGCCTGCACTTGTTAACGGGCGAATATTTCGAAAAGCAATCAAACACGTTGCAAAAACTTAAAAGGCCATCCCGAAATGTTTTTCTATACACCGATAGAGGCCGTGTGCGGGTTCGACGGAGGTCGAAGACTTACGGTGACCATGTAGCTGAGTCCGTTCCACGTCATTCTCGCTACCGAGTCCTTTCTGCGCAGACCGATCGTTTGCGGCGCCCCTGCCGCCCTCTCGAAACCGTCGGCAGCGTCTCCGTCGCCCGTACCCAACGGAAGAACGTCGGGGCGACCTGGCATGCGAGGTGGCGGTGCTCTGGAAGTCGTTGCGGCCTGATCGGTGACGTCAGAGGCGGCGCGTGCATGCTGAGACCGCGGACGGTAACTGGGCTTGCAGAATTCGTCCTTTAACGGTCCCATGGTCCTGCGAAGTTTTAATTTCGAAGTTATGTCGGGCCGATTTTTTTTTCCTCCTGTCCCACAGCGGGCCCCGGAATAACAATTTTGGTCGAAAAGATAAAAAATGTTGTTTGCTAAAAATAAACTTTAGAATTTAGAATGAAACACCATCAAAAAATTATACAGGGTGGAAGAAAAGACTGGAAGGTTTATTTCATATTTGCATGTGTGAGTATTTTAGGAATGAGCGTTAAGACATGCGTGTGGCCTAAGAATTTGCGAAAAATGGTAGGACCATAGAAAATTAACTAAATGACTCGCCCCTGGGTTGATGTATCCAAGCTGAAAAGTTAGGTTATCGCTTGTAACATACAATTCTATGATTCGGAACCGAAAAGGAAGTCAATTTAGTTATTTTTTTTATCGATTCACTCTTTTACAGACTTTTTTCGAATACGCATATTTGAAGCTCATTTCTTAGTGCCAGTGGATGCAGGATTTGCGATTGTAACGCTAAAATATTCTTTTGTTTGATTTTACAGTAGAAAATGACTACTGTAATATTGTAATAAATCTTCTACTGGTATTGTCATCATTGCTTGTTCCACTCCCACTTGCTTTTACTTTATCGATAATCAAACCCATTTCGATTCTAAATGTAAGCTGAATATTTTTCTTTCCCTCTTTTACACTGTCCTTTCCCTCTTGTGATCTAACTTGCCATTTTTTGATATCCAATCTGTAAGCCACATGTAAAAAATATTCCACGAATGGTATCCACGCATGGAGAGTCGATAATCCACAATCGAGGGCCTTGTTGTTAATTGGTCTAGTTTTAACATTTTGTATATTTTAGGTGTAGGTTTTAGTTCATCAATTTCTTTTTTACAGAGGCTGCTTCTTGTAATGTGAAAGCAGTAATTTCTTTCTGAAAATAAAAGTGAACTGGCCTACAATACCTCGTTGACGATGGTCTAGGGTTCTGCCAATAAATTATTTTTTGATCGATTTTTGAGTAAGAAAATAATTGCAAAGGTACAAGTGAAGTTAAAAAATATTTGAATCTGAAGCATTTTCAGCTTGTATTCACTACGACCTTTGCGCATCCCCATTTTGTGATTGAAATTAACTCAAGAGGTCCAGATGTATTTTCGAAAACTTCTGACTGAGATAAAACAATTCTGGAAACAGTATGGTCCAAAAGCCCTTGTAACTTAATTTTTGCAGATAACTCTGTTACCAAAATGTTATCGGGAAATCGATAACAGTATAATTTTGTCTGCAAAATTTTTTTGTATGAAGGATAAACATCAAAGTTGCTTTCTTTTCATTCTATTCTGATGGTTAAATAGTCACATTTAAGTCACAGCTAAGTGCTTCTTCACGTACGTATGGTAGAATTGGCTTTGATTTCTGTATATACCAATTGACTCTCTTTAAGCAATTTGACTTTGACTTTTAAACTTAGCATTGGCGCCCCAATTAACTGAGTTTGCTCTAAACTTTTTGCTAATTCCTTAATGTTTCTTCCCGGGTCTTCCCAGCGAGTCTGTTCGCGTTTGCATGTTATCCATTTGCGGGAATAGAAGAACAGTACTATTTAACCATTTAGTGTTTTGTTTTAAAAACCTGCTCTTCGTACGATTACTTTTTTTTCCACCTTTTGGATAGCTGGTCGCAAATTTCACACTTCTGGCTTTTGGTATTCATCATATTTAAGATTTCGCGGCCTACTTGGAGATTTTTATCTTTATAATTACCGTTTTTATCAATCCAGAAATTAAACACATCTATTCTTTTAAGATTCATGTTTTGACTTGCTCTGGACTACTCTGTAGCAAAAGAATTTAGTTAGAAAATGGAAAATATATTGTTTCTTATTAGGCTTTCTATTTCTAGTCTCATGAACAGCTTTAATCCCGATTTTACTCAGACAAGAGTTTTCCAGTTTTCACAACATCTATCTTTAATTTGCAAACATTCTGTATATCTAGAAATGCTTAACCCTAGGAAAACTTCACCCAATAGACTTTGTTTAGCTTAGTACCTTTTCAATAAAACGAAAAAAAATTCGTTTCTATAATAGTTATAAGTAGGTATGTGTAAAAAAATTCATAATTTTATTGCGAATTGGGGCGAAAGTTTTTCAAATATTTTAATGTTAGAAGAAAACGTTTTTAAATTTTACTTACCTTTCTCTAATTAATCTCTATGAACACAAACTGTAGGCAATGTAACTACTTTCTACAAAACAGTATAAAATCATACAAAAAAATTTCTTAAAAAATACAATTTTCTTCAAGTTTCAAACACCTTGACGTCAAACTTCCGACTGACAGCGACTTTTGTTTATGCATTTATTTTTCTAGGCCCACTAGATTGTTCGCCTTGGAAAAATGCTTACTTATGACCAAAATTACGATTCGAGAATCCATTTGTGTATAAGCGCGTTACCTCCACGCCATTCGTTTCCTGCGATCCAACCACCTGAGTTGCTCTTCGTTCTCGTTCTCCTCGTCCACGCCGAAGAAGTTGGCCGTTTCCTTTTTGATGTAGTTCTTGATCATTTCCTTCCTGCTGGTCGATCGATTTAAAGGCGGTCGTGTCCTGCGACGGGATAAAGTAGTGGAATTCGTTCTGGCGGACAATTTGGTGGGCTATCTCACCTGTTGGGTATCCGTTCGGATTGGCTGTAGTTCACGCGTTTCGGCTGAGCCTGCGAAGTCGTTTCGACGGCGGCGACGGACGACGTCGGCATCGAAATCGCTCTCTGGACGGCGGCGCTTCCCCTGGGGGGCGACGAAGACGCCTGGGGCGCTTGTCTTTGTCTCGGCGAAGCGTCATCGTTCGGCTGTTCCGTAGGTACTCGGGTGGAAGCTGTAGGTTGCTGGGATGCCGTCGGAGGTGGAGAGTGGTGGGGCGTGACTAGCTGTTGCGGCTGAGTCGTGGGTTGGGTTGGTTCGGGTGGCGGACGATTCGAAGCCTGCTGGAGCGGTTGGGGCGGAGACGCCCGCCTGAAAACGAGCGCGGTTTGAAAAACGCCGCCCCCAAACTATAAAGGAGTTTAAAAATAAAAAGGAAAAATATAATATAATAACTAAAGGGTGATTCAATAGGGGTTTCCACATTAAAATAATAAAAAAAAAACTCGGAAGAATATAAAAATATACAAAATATATGTTTCAAATTCTTTCAGGTCGTAGAAAGCATTGCTTGACAGAAGTTCTCTGATGCACTTTTTAAATTGTCTTGTAGATAATGCTTTTATGCTTGTAGGAAACAAATTATAGTAATAAGGTCCTGCGTAATTTAGCGACTTTTTGTAAAACATGTGGTTCCGTCTTGGCTTTAGAAGGTTATAACCGTGGACATCCGTGTGTTTCTTGTGAGAGCCTTTATTTTTATGAACGATGATGAATAATTTAAATAAATATATACAAGACACTGTATTTTATACCTTATAAATATATCTTTGCAGGATAGCCTCGGGGGCAGTTTGAAAATTAACCTAAGTATCCTTTTTTGCTGAATGAACAACCCTCTCCGCATCACTCGCTTGTCCCCAGTTTACGATATTATATGAAATAGACGAGTATGCTGAGGCGTAATAGAAAGTCAACAAGGATCTTTCAAAGAAAGAATCTCTGATTGTTAACATTGCGAAAAACGTTTTGTTCAGTGTATTACAAACACTATCTATGTCGTAGTCCCACTTTAGGAAGGCATCGGTGTAAGATCCGAGAAACTTTGATGTGTGGTTTAATTCCACGCGTGAACCCGCAAAGCTGAACGCTAGGTTAGTCAGAGGTTTAACATACTGACCAGTGAATTCGCATCGCAACTGTTTTTCCCAAATTTATAATCAAATGGTTCTGTTTCCAAAAATCAACAAACTGTGCCACAACACACAAGATGGATGTGTCATCCGCGTACATAAAAACGCGGCAGTTGCTATTGAGGAACTCAGTCGAGTTTGTCGTAGACATACTGGACAAGGTCATTAATTCCCGTTTCCGTTGAGTAACCAACACGGAAACCATGTTGCGCATTGGATATAATGTTTTCTTGCTCCAAAAAACGTGTCATTCTGTCGTACATTGCCTTTTCGAGTACTTTAGAGAACTAACCTGCGATTGTTATAGGCCTATAATTCTCTATTAGCTTAGAGTCTCCCTTTTTGAATACAGGAATCATTTTTAATTTTTTCAATGCCGCAGGGCAGAGAACGGACGTATTGATAATAGTAGTTAAATATGGAGCTAAAACATCTCCACAGGTTTTTATGAGTTGTATAGGTATTTCATCGATTCCAATAGATCGCTTGTTTTTGAGTGATTGAATTAAGGTTAGTACCTCTCTCTCGGTGTAGGGCATGAAAAACATACTCTTTGCCTTGGTGGTTGGAAGAGTGCCAGTTTCATCTTTAGTGAACATAGTATCGGTCTTCGACTGCACGTGAGTGGCAAAAAATTGTCCGAATTCATTTGCTATTATGTTATCATTAATTACATTGACATTATTAACATTTATTCGTATACGGCGTTGAGTTTTTTCCTTACCCAGCTTCTCGTTGACAAGTTGCCACATTTTTTACTTTTGTTGTTAGAAAGACTTATTAAGTTGGAGAAGAAAGCCTTTTTTTCATCGGCGACCTGTCTGTCTACTAGGTTTTTCATAATTCTGTAGTTTTTTTCCACAGCTTCATCATTAACTTCATTTTGCGTCTCCGGTTTAACTCTTTTAATTCACTCATTTGGTTTTTGAGTTTTTCGGAAAATGGTATAGATCTTTTAAGTTTTGTGCTTTTTGCTGAATTGTTCTTTTAGGATGTGATACCTCAAACCACCATAGTACATCATCCCAGAATATGTTGAACAGGTTGTCGATGTTTGTGTATTCCAAAAGAGGTATGGTTTCCTTCACGAAATAGCTACGGAATTCAGCAATGCTGTTGTCTGTAACAACTCTTTGTTCGCAACCGATCATCGCATTGAAATTTATATTTTGTGAGTAGTGTTTAAAAGTTTTATTTCTTTTTTATTTTTATTTCTATACACTCTGCTTTTTAGATACCCCAAAAAAAAATCTAGGGGAGTAAGATCACATGATCGCGGCGGCCAATTGACATCGCCGTTACGTGAGATAATCCGACCAGGAAACTTGCCCCGCAGCAATTGCATCGTTTCTCTGGATGTGTGACAAGTGGCTCCATCCTGTTGGAACCACAATTCTTCAATGTCCATACCTTCCAACAGGTCCCAGAAAAAAACAGATATCATGTTTCGATAGCGAACACCATTAACCTTAACAGCGTTCTCCGCATTATCCTCGGAAAAAAGAGTGCCAATTATTGCTCCGTCACTTTTTGAGGATGCATTGCTTTTTGAACAATCTCTCTTGGATTTTCTAATCCCCAAATATAATCCCATTGTGTTTGTTTACAAAGCCACCAACGCGAAAACGTGCCTCATCGCCAAAGATGATTTTCGTTGAAAAACGAACCCCTTATTCTCGTATCCATTATGCAAACACGCGGCTCTGTTGATGATCTCTAGGTTTCAACTCCTGAGTTATTTGGACTTTATATGGGTGTAGATGCAAGTCTTTTGTTAAAATTCGCTGCGTGGTTGAATACGTAAGGCCCACTTGCTGCGATCGATGACGAATCGATGCTACACTTTCGCGAACAATGGCAATATTTTGATCTGACCGACCTGCACAATCACGTTGAGGCACTTTGAGGTTAGTTACAGATCCAGTGTGCTCAAAATTTTTAACCACATTCCAAATTGTCCTCTCAGAAGGTCGACTTTGCGCGCCGTAGAGCCCGAAATGCATTTTTTCTTGATCGACCATTTTCATAATAGGCTTGCACAATTTTTGCACGTTGTTCAGTCGTATATTGCTCCATGACTAATTTTGTTTATGTTTTGAGGTTAAAAATCTCATATGATAATAAACAAATACAGTGGTGTTTCAAAAATATTTCAGATTGTAATGTGGAAATTTTTATTGAATCACCCGAGGACACACTGAGGACAGCTTTAAGGCTTCTCTTGGCCTCCAGTCCTCAGAATTGTAGTCTGTTCAAAGTTTCACAAGGTTCACTTTGTTCAAACCAGCCTATTGATTTTTCAAAGAAATTTCCACAGGCTAGTGTAATACTATTTACAAAACTTCTGGATTAATCCTGCGTCGGTTTTTGTCGAGTTTTTGTATGGTCTGTTCATAGATATCAGAAAATGAATAATCGCTTTTGAATGCGATTATCCAATGGTAGTCATTAACATACAATGCAACAAGATTATTACCTAAAGTTTCGGAATTCAAATTCAGGTAAAATTGTGTTTATACTTACCTGTGTTTAATATTCTTTCTTGTCCCAGTAATAATTTTGAAAAATTTGAAGTCGATAGCTGCAAATTTGAGACACATACTACATTTTTGAATATAGTATACAACTCAAACACAGCCATCTAGTTATGGTATTTATCCTTACAAGGGGAACCAACATTTTCAGTTTTCTGCTAATACTGGGCACACCCTGTACATTTTTGAAAATTATAAAGAATGAAGGTGTGGATCTATCAGTTCCACAATTTTTGCAAGTACGTAAACGATTTTTAATTTTTACAAAATATCTTTCTCCCCCGAGAACGTCCGGGACAGAGAACGGACAAACAGACAAAAAAAATGTTTTCTTTTCGACCGTCATTTCGGTACCAACGGTGGTCCAACTAACCAAAAGCAATGGCGGCCCCCTAAGACCGAGATCACATTATTGTAATTCGGATAAATAAAATGGCGGAACGTTTGGGAAAGTCGTATCCTGATGGACATGAGTGCCGAACATCTCAAACGTGAACGCGATTGTGTAATCTCCGGGGAGGGACGTTAGATCTACCTGATATAGATGACGAGACGTGTTCTGCTATCGAGACGAGCTTATTCCATCATTTGCCTAATTTACGCGGCAGCACGTGTTAATTAAACGGGATAACGTAAATTATTGCGACCGCAGCCGCCTAGATGTAATTTTCAAAATTAAATAAAAAAAGGAAAAATATTGTTTTTATTAGGACAATAACAAAAACCGATTAAAAAAAAAACAAATTAAATAAACAATAGTTAAGTCTATTTATTTTTGGAAGATTAGTGGATTTTATTGTAGATTCCACGGCTAGTTTGTCCATTTTCAATGACGATCATTGCAACGTCCCATGGACCTTGATATCTGCGTTCCATTTCCTATAAATGTTGGTGGAACCTCTCACCAAGATGGTCGGCCAAATAGTCCTGATGTGAGTGCAAATAGTGTAGTTTTTTTATTCATATTGCATCCCATTTCCCCAAATTTAGCCCTTTTTCGCCAGTTCTTTTTCACCCAATGTTGCTGTATTTTTCTACTGTTCCACTCAACTAACAACAACGGTACTTCGTATATCCTGACTGGCAGAAGTCCCGTAATTTTTAAATCACCGCAAATCATAGTAAAAGATCGAAATTTTCGGAGCATTTACATTTTCATTTACATTGAAAGGGCAACAGGTACAGAAGCCAAAATATTTCGACCGCAGCCGCCTAGATGTAATTTTCAAAATTAAATAAAAAAAGGAAAAATATTGTTTTTATTAGGACAATAACAAAAACCGATTAAAAAAAAAACAAATTAAATAAACAATAGTTAAGTCTATTTATTTTTGGAAGATTAGTGGATTTTATTGTAGATTCCACGGCTAGTTTGTCCATTTTCAATGACGATCATTGCAACGTCCCATGGACCTTGATATCTGCGTTCCATTTCCTATAAATGTTGGTGGAACCTCTCACCAAGATGGTCGGCCAAATAGTCCTGATGTGAGTGCAAATAGTGTAGTTTTTTTATTCATATTGCATCCCATTTCCCCAAATTTAGCCCTTTTTCGCCAGTTCTTTTTCACCCAATGTTGCTGTGTTTTTCTACTATTTCGAAATTTTCGGAGCATTTACATTTTCATTTACATTGAAAGGGCAA